TTAAAAGTAAGGCTTACCAACAGGGTGTAGCACTATTATGTTTTTTGCATTTATTACAACAGCTAATTTGAACCAACTAGCAACAAAAAGTTGTGGTACACAATGGAAACTTTACTTTTTCCATGGTTTAGGTGCAGTTGTAGAAAATTAGGGCTATGGTAGATGTGTGCTACACTATAGTATACCGTATAAATTTAAAGACCAAATTTCCTAAAACCGTGTCCTCTCCCGTAACTGCAATAAGCATTTTATACTTCTATGCCAACCCCGTACGAAGGACGGGTACTCTGCTAGTTCCTTTATAAAGGGAACTTTTCATATACCTAATGTTAAAAATACCTCAGCTGTTTGTTATTCTTTCAATTTATTACCTTATTAAAATCAGGTGTGATTATTTGTTTCTTTTACTTTATTTTGTGTATTTCAGGTTAACTTAACCAATCAATAGTTTTATTAATACTTACTTATGATGTCAAACGGGGTGAAGCCCGTGGGTGACAGCTAGTATCTATAAAAGAGGAACTATGTATGTGTGTATATATGTATACGTTATGGACTCCGAAACCGCTCGACAGATTGTAAGGAAACTTTTAGGCATTATTAAGCATCTTTCAAGGATGGTTCGAGTGAAGTTTGGTGCAGATCCGTCAAAAGGGCTCTGCCCCAGAGGGTTTTAAGTGGGCCAATGTCAGACTTTTTGATCTACAATGTTTACAAATAAATATAATTCAAAAGCAGATGTTTACTTTCACCAACTGTTTTGTAGGTTTGAATGATCACAACATTCTGTATTATAGTGTGTTCAAACCTAGGAGGATTAAACATTAATGTTTAATCCTCCTAGGTTCAAACAGCCGTGGCACCTGAGGGATTAGGAGGCCCCAATGCTCGTTGGGCCCCAAGGGTTTCCATGGGGTGTCCTAATCCGTCAGGTGCCACGGCTGTTTGAACGGAGTATAGCAATAGTCATGATTTGAAATAGTGCCACAGTGTTTCTACAGAGTGCAGCACAGAAAACTATTTTACTTTTGAATAAGTCCAAATGTATTAAACCCCAATCGCAGCACACCTGTGCACTTAACAACGTTTAAATTCTTCAAAGTTAAATATTAAAACATAAAAACCTTTATCTAAGTATTATAAAAAATAAAAGGGATGACTTTTTAAAATTTATGACAACAGCTAATTTGCAACCTAAAGGTGAGTGAGCGTAGCGAACGAAAATCAACCTGGAGGCGAGTTAGCGTAGCGAACGAGCTAACCTGAAAACAAGTGAGCGCAGCGAACGAACTTCAACCAGGACGTGATTGAGCCATGCGAATACTACTACATGCGAATGCGGGCAAAGCCCGCCGGTACAGCTAGTATATTTATAAACAAGCAAACTACAACAGATTATTTATTCTCCATAAGACATGGTAATTTTAAAATTAAATTTTTTGAATTATCTCCGTAACCACTAGGCATACAACAACGCTCCAATATACAAAATTATTTCTTTTTTTAAGCTCTACATTATTTATTATGGTTTCATTATGGTTTGAAAGCTAATTGTGAAATTTTGTGTTTTTAGGGTAAAAAATGGGAAACCCCAATTTTTACCCCATAAAACCCTGTTTCCATGGTCCGATCATGCTGGTTCGCGAATAAACGTAGGTTCAATTGTTCGTACCAAATTTTATCAAAATCGGATCACTTTTGCTCGAGTTATCGCGCTTACGGACACATATATATATAAATATTTTCTTCTTGCATGTTTAGGGCTACTTATATAATAAAAATCAAAAACATATTAAACAAAGTACCCTTTTAGTAATTATTTTATTTTTCATGACGACATGTTTCGGAGACTATTATCAAGTCATATTTACCATAACCTCATTCTATAAACTAACAAAATTAAGAATATAATTATATACAGCAGACATCCCTATGGTCCCCAACGTCACAGTTGCTACGTTTGCTGATGACACCGCACTGTTGTCGAGTCATGTGGACCCTCAAGTCGCTTACATAAATCTACAAGCTGCCTTGACTGAACTCCAGTATTGGCTTAAAAAGTGGAGGATAAAAGTCAACGAAAACAAGTCCAAACATATTGTTTTTACTCTGAGAACAGGGTACAATCCTCCTGTAACCATTAATAATGTAGCCTTAACGGAGGCAGACAGTGTAAAATATTTGGGTCTAACTCTTGACAAAAAATTAAATTGGAAATCTCATATCTGGTGCAAGAGACAGCAAATGGAATTAAAACTTCGTAAACTCAATTGGCTACTAGGTACGAATTCAAAATTATCATTGGCTAACAAAATTTTACTGTATAAAGTTATGATCAAACCAATTTGGACATACGGAATTCAACTTTGGGGGACCTCGAGCAAATCCAACATCGAAATTCTTGAACGATTTCAGGCTAAGGCACTGAGAAGAATTATTGGCGCACCCTGGTTCGTATCCAACACTACAATTAGGAATGACTTCAAAATTAAATCAGTGAAAGAAGAAATTACAGACCTTAGCAAAAATTATCAAGAAAAATTAGAATATCATCCGAACAGTCTTGCTGTTAATCTGCTGGACAATAGTCAGTGCATTAACAGGTTAAAAAGTGTTGTGCATGTGCTGGACCTAAGCTACAGATTTCTGTAAATGTTTAAATGACTGATCAAATTTTTGGCAAGACTTGTTGATGAACAGGTGCTTGCTTCCTGACATTGCTTGATATATGTTTTACTTATTGTTCTCATATTTGAAGTTTGAACAGATTGTAAAATAAATTCTGATAAAAAAAAGAATATAATCATATGTAAAAATAATAAATATAAAATATGTTGACTAAATCTTAATAAATGTTGGTATTAATTTTTTCATTATACTATATTAATGTTTTTCTTTCTTTCCTTAGTTTTTCAATTTTATCGTAGATAGGTTGGTTTTTATTTTGGAATCATTGTGTTAAGTACGGTATGTTGTCGGGGTCATTTTTGTTGTGTAGATAAATATTTAGCTCTTCTTTTAAGTTTTTCACGTTCTTTTTAGCGAATTTCCCTATAGGGAAGTAGCTATTACCGTAGGTGGCACGGTAAGACCTAGACCCGGGACCGATTTACTTTTTCATTTTGATGTCCCCAGAGGCCAAAAACACCATTCGTTCAAATTTTTATATATGTATATGTATATATATATATATACATATATACGTTCAGTCCGTGAACGCGATAACTTGAGTAATTCTTGTCCGATTTTGATGAAATTTGGTTTAGAGGTGTAAAGTGGGATAAACTTGAATGAGTTCGCGAACCAGCACGATCGGACCATGGGAACGAGGCTTTACGGAGGGTTTTATGGGGTAAAAATTGGTTTTCTCACTTTTGACCCTCAAACAACAAAATTTCCCGATTTCTCTTTAGACCTTTTTAAAGAGCTTAAAAAACAAATAATTTAGTATATAAAAGTATTTTTGTTCGATTATTAGTAACGGAGAAGATTAAAAAAATTTTAAATTTAAAATTCCCATGTTATTCTTATGGAGAATATTGTCAAATGTTGTAGTTTGCTTGTTTATGGATATATTTTGATCAAACTTGGCAAATTTATTTATTTTGTACTAAGCTATCAATATTTTACTCAAAAACACACTTTATTAGTTTCCTTGTAGCAGCAAACCTTGGTACTCGTTAAACCTAATGTTATTAAAATATATTTAACTGAAAATCAATTCAGACAAATGGAAATTCGCTTAGTCGGCAGGTTTGCTGCGGCGGGGGTATTCATATTCTAAAATAGTTAATTTTCTTTCATGTTTTTATAACTGTAACTGTGGTCTGAGTTCATTATATGGTCGGCGAAGTGTTCGACTTCATAGATGTTAGATTTTTTTTTATTTCAATGCTTGTAGATGTTCTTTGAATCTTGCTTTAAAACTCCGCGATGTTTGACCTATAAATAATTCCTACAGTCACTACAGTTTTTCTTATAGATTCCTGATTTGTTGTATTTTCTGTGTGTTTGATTTTTTTATTGATTAATTGGAATTTATTGTTCTTAGTTCTGTAACTTACTCTTATATCCGAGTTTTTAAATGTATTTCTTACTGCTTTAGTCATATATTTGTCATAAGGTGTACATATATATTTATTTTTCTCTTCATTTTCCATTGATTTTCTTTGCTTTTGTATTTTGTTTTTCAATTTCTTCTTTATCATATTGTCTATCATTTTTAATAAGTTATTTATATATATGAATTTGAACGGATAGTGTTTTTGGCCTCTCGGGACCTCAAAACGATAAATAAATCAGTCTCGGGTCTAGGTCTTACCATGAGACCTACGGTAATAGCTTATCCCCTATATGGGAAATTCGCTAATAGACTACCATTATCTGCTTCCAAACAAAACATTTGTACAACACCACTTGTGACGTTGCCACCACTTCGAAGGCCGAAAGGCCGTCGGGGAGCGAGCTGGCGTAGTGGTTAGAGCGCGGGACTTCAATCCCTGAGGTCCCGGGTTCGATCCTCGCCAAGTCACCGATGGATCTTATCTAAGTGATAATGCCGCAACCCCTAGGTCTAGCCTGATTTTTAAAATTACTTCAGGCTGCCTGAAGTAATGTGAAAAACAATCCCAGGAAAAAAGGCCTAGCGTCCTAGAAAAAAAAACTTCGAAGGCCGTGGTATCAGTGCAAAAGTGCACTCAGCCATGACCAACATGAAACATTCATACAATCATAGACCAAAACAGACCTTGAATCGTAGATTAAAGACTTATGTAATTCATATAGTACATTGATTATAGAGCAATATAAGACTAATAAAATATTTAGAATGGATGTTAGAAAAAAATGCAAACTTTAGGCATTGATAAAACCATTGACTATAATACTTTTAGGTAACTTTTTCATTTATTGTGTATTACATGAATACTGTATACAAATACATATTAGTAATCGGAGGAAAGCATTGGTCCTGGTGGGTGGCAAACCTGTGTGTAGAATCTAGAATCTATCCTCCATCTCAGGGGTGTGTGTTTGTTTCAGAAATCGTTGCCTGGATTTTTCATATTTCTATCGCTACTAAAGGTAATTACTTCGATTATACTTGTTAGATTTCATTTAACAAATTGGGGATTTAATTTTAAATAGGGTAGCTCTTAATTGGCGTGTAGTTCCATTGTATTTTCATAACTTGTGCCACTCTTAGTCTGATCACAAAAATGCCTTCCTAAAGCTGAATTGACTTATCGCTTGTCATTGGCTTACTTCATAATCATATAAACTTAGGCCTATCGTTGGTTTGGAATTTGTACATACAATAATTTTAATGAGTGGATAAATATGTAAGCTTATTAAAATATTTTTACATAACACTAGTTTTGTAACAGATACAATAACTTACAGTAAGAATTAAGATCTAACTTAAGTATAAGAAGAATCGACAAGTTATCTGTAAGTTGAAACTTGGGGCCTATACTAGCTTCCTCATAAGATAAGTTAGGCCTAAGTGTGTAAAAAAGGAGATTTTTGGCCATGATAGGCGGAATAGATGTTTATTTTATTTCTTTTATAGGTTAACCTTTCAATTGACTTAACTTATGGATTGAGTTGGCCTATGTAGGCCTAGGCTGAAGTTGTATTAAACTGAAAAACTTACCAACATTTAAAATATGTTTTAGTTAGACAAGGCCTATAATGTTCTTTTGCTCTCTAGTCATAAAATTGAGGTTCTGATAATCACACTGTTAAAGGGAAATCTGCGGTGATTTTGTATAAACCTAGGCCTAACGTAGGGTACAGTTTCTTAACTGGGCTTTGCTAATATCAATTGAATCTATCGGATGGAAAATGTTGATTAATAATCAATATTTTTAAATATAGCCTACACATAGGCCTATATATATATTTGTCTGTTAGCAAGATAAATCGAACAAAATTATCCGATTTTGATGAAATTTTGTACAAACGTGTAAATCTACATGTATTTTATTCGAATGAGTTCGCAAACTAGCATGACTATGGGAACGGGGGTTTTATTGGATAAAAATGGGAATTTCCCATTTTTTTACGATAAAAACAAAAGATTCCGCAATTTCTTTAGAAAACATTTTGCAGAGTTTGAAAGACAAATAATTTAGCATGCTAATTGTTATCATAATGGTCACAGGGAAATTCCAAAATATTTAAAGTCAAAATTGTCATGTAATTTATATGTAGAACAAGTACGTAACTTAAACTGTTGTAGTTTGCTTTTTTATGGATGTATTTTGATAAACTAAATAAATAAATAAATGTTAAATAAACCGCTGTCATATGTGCGTTACTGACAAGATTTCGTGCAAGAAAACTTAAGAGAAAACACTGGGTGCATCTAATTTATAGTCCGAGAACCTTGAAAGGCCAGATTTACCTCTATACTCGGATTTGAGGAAATATCCGGACAAATTTTTCATGTGCTCTGATTTTTGTTACCAATTGTTAATAGGTACCCCAGCTTCAAATACACACATAGTGTTTCAAAAACACTATCCATCAAATTCACACACACACACATAGGTATATATATATTTGTCCGTTAGCAAGATAAATCAAACCAAATTATCAGATTTTGATGAAATTTGGTACAAACGTGTAAATCTACATGTATTTTATTCTCTAATGAGTTCGCAAACCAGCATGACTATGGGAACGGGGGTTTATGGGGGGTTTTATCGGATAAAAATGTTACCAATTGTTAATACCCCAGCTTCAAATACACACATAGCCTAGTGTTTAAAAAACACTATCCATCAAATTCACACACACACACATATATATATATTATTTGTCCGTTAGCAAGATAAATCGAACCAAATTATCCGATTTTGATGAAATTTGGTACAAACGTGTAAATCTACATGTATTTTATTCTAATGAGTTCGCAAACCAGCATGACTATGGGAACGGGGGTTTATGGGGGGTTTTATCGGATAAAAATGGAAATTTCCCACTGGGAAATTTATTTATTTTATTTTTTTATTTTGATAAACTAAATAAATAAATAAATGTTAAATAAACCGCTGTCATATGTGCGTTACTGACAAGATTTCGTGCAAGAAAACTTAAGAGAAAATACTGGGTGCATCTAATTTATAGTCCGAGAACCTTGAAAGGCCAGATTTACCTCTATACTCGGATTTGAGGAAATATCCGGACCTTGATTGTCGTATGTGATTCATTGCAACGGAACTACACGTCAAAATAGACACACTTCTTCCACCAGACTGATTTTATCAAGCTTTAAGTAGGGCCTATACAAAGTGTAGAAGATGTATTATATTATTGATACTAGAGGTTGTCCAGTGGTCGAAAACTCAAAACTAAATTTGTTTTTTAAGCTCTTCAAAATGGTCTATAGAGAAATTGGGAAATTTTGTGTTTTGAGTACGGTAGGTAGTCAAAAACAATGAAAACTATTTTCACCCCATAAACCCCTCATAAAACCCCGTTCCCATAGTCCGATCGTGCTGGTTCGCAAACTCATTCAAGTTTATCCCGCCCTACACCTTCCAAGTTAAATTACATCAAAATCAGACAAAATTACTCGAGTTAAGTTATCTTATTCATGGACATATACAGTAGACTACCCCTTATCCGGACTCCTCGGGACCAAGGCCAGTCCGGATAACGGATTTTCCGGTTAAGCTGACGTCCCCAAAAACTCGTTCATTGGTCTCAAATCTTTCCCACGAGAACAGTCGTTTCAGTACCGCCCTCTTCCTGCCGATTTAGTCCGTTTAAACCGATGCGCTGATAAAAATTGTCCGGTTAAAGAGATGTAATTTCCGTGGAGTGTAGTCAGGTAAACCGATGTCCGGTTAAAAGGTGTCTGGATAAGAGGGAGTCTACTGTATATCTATTTATATATAGGCCTATATACATATAACATTTTGAACGGATGATGTTTTTGGCCACTATGGGGACATCAAAATGAAAAAGTCTGTCCCCGGCCTAGGTCTTACCATGAGACCTTTGGTAATAACTACTTCCCTAGAGGGAAATTTGTTAATATTCCAGTCAAATGTTATACAGTAGGCCTACCCAACTATTTACAGCGTGGGGTGAAATTAGAGTATTCAATAACCTTATTATAATTGCATTTATTTATAAATACACATATTTTTTTATTATTTATATTTAAAATTCATTAGCTGTTAGATTGGTTTATTAATTATAGTTTGTTTGTTTACTTTTCCCCTAATTTATATTTTGACTCTCAATATAGAAGTTTAAATTACAGTAAAAAAGTTATTAAATTATAATACTGCCATGCAGTTTCATGCAAAAACACAAATATTTTCATTAAAATAAGCAATAGGACAATTGAGATTTGCCTGTATAATTTGCATAGTATGTATGTGTGAAACCTTTATTATTCTCTCAAGAGTATTCTTGCCCTGTTGCGAAGCACGGGCAGAACAACTAGGCTAGTAATTATAATAACATACCCCATCACACTTTTAAAAGAAATTTTTCATTGTATATTTAAACCCAGTCCTACCCTAGGTCTAACAAGTTATTGTAAATCAGTAGGCTAACATTTACTGTAGGATAACTTACTTTCTATAATACACTTAGTATCCAAACTAAAATATTAATTAGTCAACTTAATTTTCTGTTTCAGTCTCACAACATGGCTGAGTATCGATAGAAGGCATCCAGTCAACAGCCTTCATGCAGCGAAACCAAACATGGAACTTATCATTTCATTAAAAATTTTAAAGTAAATTATTTAACTTACCCAACAAACTTTGCATAACATTAATTTCACTAGGCCTATTCATTTAATTTAATTTTTATCTAACACCAACAGATTATTGATACCAGTTTTTCCTACCTTTGTACCTACACTATATTTTTAAATTGATAGTTCCATGTGTGGTGTTGATTGCGGCCGTAGGACATGAAGGAAAAGCATAAGATCATCAGTTGGACTGTTAACACTCACAAATTTAGCCTGCTTCATCCATTCTCCTTCATGGTCACTGCCCCCCAACATCTGTGCTGAGGTAGCCTACTGTCTTACAACATGCTTATCTTTAGCCTAATAAAAGCAATCTATAGTAGGCTATAAGAAATAAGTACTCTTGCTCGGGTGTGGTTAATCGTATATCCTAGGCCTATATTATACTCTTATTATATGACCAATGTTTGCTTGTAGGCCTACACTTGAGTCTCGCTAATCCGAACATCCGCTTAATCCAAAAGCGTTTCCGAAATTATTTTTCAAAAAATTTGCACTATACAAAAGGCAATGGGAAGGGTTAAATATGTTGAAATGGAGTATAAAGAAACTAATCTATTAAGGAATACAATGCTTTGTTTATTAAATGAAGAATAAATTTACAGAATGTAATCAAAAACAAAGAATTATTTTGTAAGAAATATTGCACACATTGTACTGAAAAATGAACATGGGTTACTTGTTATTAGACATGAAATGCCGCATCGTCATTGTGGTTTTGTGTTGCCGTTTCGTGTTGTAGTTTTGTCAGTCTGTTTTTCGTCGTGTATTTCCACCATTTTCTCATGAACATCACATCTGCAAGCGTGGCAGTAGTATGTTAAGTAGCGAAGGGCAAGGTCAAGCGATGTGATGTGGCTGCCTCATTGTGTGTCATTTTCTCCTCTCCTCCCCTGCCCCCTAGCTCGTCATCATCGCCCTGAACATGATCTTGCGTCACTGCTGCTATGATGTCATTGTCTGTCAGAGTCTCTGCACTAATGCCGTCTGCCGCTATCCATTCATCCACGTCCTCTTTGACCGCATTCTCACATGGATTGTATCATTGGTAACAGGTTAACTGGGCCATTTTCGCTAACTTAGGGTTTTCTTCAAAATCTAACGATATCCATATCTTTTTCCGTGATATTCTTATCGCTCTAGCTGTCACATTTTCCCAAGATTCAGTGGCCCAATACACAACATCCTTTACGTTTGTCTGTTTCATTTTTTGAACCACGAGGATTGTATCATCTTCAATTAAGGACTTTAAAAAAAGAGTTTGCAGTACTTAAGCTTAAGTGCCTGCAAAACCCCCTGATCCATTGGTTGCAGTAAAGGTGTCACATTTGGGACCCTATTTTTGAAATGGTTCACTGTTGAGTTTAGTGTTGAGTCACTCACTTTCCAATCGTTTCATATTTTTCAAACAATTGACAATTGACTTAAGGCTTGTGCCTTATATAAATATACTAACACAAAATAAGTTAATTAAAAGAAGTGATTATAACATTGAAACACTTTTGTATTTAGAAAGAACTACAATAAAATCAAATATAAAGTTTACAAACAGTCAGCTGATCATATGATAATTTTAACATTCAAAGTATAGTTGAGACAGTAATTAGCAGATTCAAATTAATGGCAAAACCATGTAGCCACATACTCCCCTCCCAGTGTCAACGAGGAACGTAACGATGCGGGGGACGAACACTACGACCTGATCTTGTAAAAATCAGTGTTTTTTTAAGGTCAAAATCTTCATTTCTGTCTTTGGTCTTGTCTACTTGAATTTCTCTAGATTGCATGTCATCTTTTCTTACGTTAATGGTCGTATCGTTCATAGAATCTTGAAGGAGGAATGCCGGTTTGAGTCGGTCAATAGAAATCGACGTAGGTCCTCGTGGAGTAAGAATAGTAAACCACTTGTCAGATCGTGAAACCACTTGGTAAGGGCCATCATAGACAGCCTGCAACGGTCTTCGGGATGAATCATGACGAACAAAAACATGGTTGGATGTTCTTAATTCTGGATGAACAAAGACCTTCTTAGAAGAATGGTATTTGGCTTCTATTGGTTTGAGATCATTCATTTTTCTTTTCAGATTGTACACTAAATCAGGAACATTTGTTGAGGTATCTTCTGTGGTTTGAAAAAGATCGCATGGCAGTCTGATGGACTGACCTAGTGTCATTTCTGCAGCAGTAACATTGTGTTCTGGAATAATATAAGATCTTAGTCCCAGTAGAACCATTGGTAACGTCTGTGTCCAGTTAGATGTGAGTTGAGCTGTTAATGCAGATTTCAGATGTCGGTGCCATCTCTCGATCTTTCCATTAGCTTCAGGGTGATACGCTGTAGTTTTAATGTGATGGATACCGAGATGTTTTGTTAATTCCTGAAATAAATTGCAGTCGAATTGTCTTCCTCTATCTGTAGTAATGTTTTGAGGAACTCCAAATCTAGCAATCCAGGTAGAAAGAAGTGCTTCTGCAACTGTTCCAGCAGTAATATCCTTGATAGGCGTTGCCTCGACCCATCGTGTAAAGCGGTCTATGATAGTTAGCAAGTACGTAAATCCTTGAGAAGGTGGCAAGGGTCCAACTATGTCCACATTAATGTGAGAAAAACGTCCATTAACGTTGTTGTAAGCTCCAATCTCAGAAGTAGTATGTTTCCAAACCTTTGATTTCTGGCAAGCTACACATGCTTTGGCCCAAAGTCTGACATCTTTATTCATGGAAGGCCAAACAAAACGTTGTTTAATAAGGTCCAGAGATCCTTTGATTCCAGGATGTGCCAGGTTGTGAATGGAGTCAAATAACTGCTTTCTGAACTGCTGAGGAATAAATGGTCGTAGCCTTCCAGTACTTGTGTCACAACACAGCTCTGAGCCATTAGGAAGTAAAATATTTTTGAATATCAAAGAAGTTGTGTTTGAGTACTTAAGGTTTTTAAGTTCAGCATCTTGAGATTGAGTTTCAGAAATTTGTTCAAATGATATAGATGAAGTTAGGTCAATAGCACTTATTCTTGACATGAAATCAGCAGGAATGTTTTGTTTTCCTGGAAGATACCTTATGTCGGTAGTGAACTGTCCAATGAAGTCTAGATGACGCAATTGCCTTGGACTAGATGTATCAGAGGGTTTATTGAAAGCAAAAGATAGAGGTTTGTGATCTGTATATATAACAAAACTTCGCCCTTCAAGGAGATAACGGAAGTGCTTCACAGATAGGTATGCAGCCAGGAGTTCCCTGTCATAGGTACTGTATTTTTTTTTAGTTGTTGTAAGGGATTTAGAGAAAAACCCAAGAGGTTCAAAGTTTCCATTACAAATCTGGTGGAGAGACGAACCTATAGCGAAGTTTGATGCATCGACCATGAGTGCTAAAGGAGCATCAGGAGATGGGTGTGCTAGAAGTGTAGCATTGACTAGCTGGCCCTTTGCATCCTCAAAAGCTTTCTTAGATTCTGAAGTCCAAATTATTTTTCGTTTATCAGATTTATGTGTACCCTTACACAAATCAAATAGTTGTTGCTGAATAGCAGCTGCGTTAGGAAGTGAACTTCTGTAAAAGTTTATAAGTCCAAGGAATCTACGAAGCTCAAGAATGGTTTCAGGAAGTTTGCAACTAACAATAGCTTCAACTTTATCAGGAAGAGGAGAAATTCCTTGTTTCGAAACTGTGTAACCAAGAAAAGAGATCTCAGTCACGCCAAATACGCTCTTTGACGTATTAATATTAATGTGATGCTTATTAAGTCTATCAAAAACAGATTGCAAGTGATTAATATGTTCATCTTTTGAGGAGGATGCTACTAGAATATCATCTAAGTAACAAAAGGTAAACTCTAGATCATGCAAAAGAGAATTAATATATCTCTGGAAAGTTTGTGCAGCATTCCTTAATCCAAATGGCATTTTTAGAAATTCAAATAATCCAAAAGGCGTTATGACAGCAGTTTTTGGAATGTCATCAGGAGCTACTGGAATGTGATGAAAAGCCCGAACAAGATCAATTTTGGAAAATATAGTTTTTCCATTTAACTGGCTGTTAAAATCATGTAAATAAGGTATAGGATATCTATCAGGAACTGTTTTTGCATTTAGGGGACGGTAATCCCCACAAGGTCTCCATGTACCATCAGTTTTAGGAACTAAATGAAGTGGACTGGACCAACAGCTTTTTGAAGGTCTGCAAATGCCTAACTCAACCATCTTGTGAAACTCATTTTTAGCTACCGCAAGTTTTTCTGGAGATAAACGTCTAGCTCTAAAGTTCACAGGCTGACCTGTTGTCTGAATTGAGTGAAAAACTGTGTCCTGTGAAACTTGAAAATTAGGATTTTCTTTCAGTAAATTAGGATATTGGTTGATAAGTTTTGAGTATTTACCTTTTGGGTCAAGAACCAATACAGATTGTTGATTTGAAAGTTTTTGAATTCCAATAACAGATAATTGAGTCCTGTTATCAATTAGTCTTTTATTTTTGATATCAACAAGTAAACCATAATGTGATAAAAAGTCTGCGCCAATTATGGGTTGGGTTACGTCTGCAACTATGAAAGACCAGGCAAACTTTCTTTTCAAGCCTAGATCAAGTTTTATGTCTTGTTTACCGTACGTTTTGATAACAGAACCATTGGCAGCATATAATTGTCTATTACTTACAGCACATTTGTCTTTGTTTGTGAGAGGCAAAACAGATATGTCTGCTCCAGAATCCACCAGAAACTTACGACCACAGGGTAAGTTAGTTACAAATAAGCGGCGAGATTGAAAGCCCCTGTCATCCTGAGCCGCATTTAGAGACGGGGCAGGAAGTTTTCCTGTTGTGCATTCTTTTTTGGTGTGAACAAACAAGGTTGAACACATTTTTTAGCATTTTCACCAAATTTGTTATGATACCAGCAAATTTCACCTTGATCATTTCTCTCCTTAGGATAGTAATTGTTCTTATGTTTGACTGGGAAGTTGCGTTTACTTAACTTAAGAAGTCCATCAATAGACTGAGTTAGTTCGCTGACTTGTTTTTCTAAGTTGGCAATCCGATCACTAGATTGCGCAACATCTCCTTGAGCACAAACGTAGTTGTCGACAGCTGATAGTTCAGCTATTTGGTCACCTAATTTAGCTAAGTCATCAAGAGAATTGGTTTGAGAAGCAGCTAGGGCAGTACGAATGTGACTAGGTAGACGTTGTAGAAAAATAACTTTCAAAAAACTGTCAGTTACCTGTGTGCCTGCTAAGGTTCTCATTTCACGAAGAAGAGTTGTCGGCTTCTTATCTCCGAGAAAAACTTCTGTTGTCAGTTGTTTTAGTTTGGCATTTTCTGAAATTTCGTATTCTGAGCAGAGCCTTTCTTTTAAGTCAGAGTAGGGAGTTTGAGACAAAGGTTTGGTAATAAAATCTGAAAGGTGACTTGCAACTTCATTGTCCAGTGAGCTCATTACATAATTGTATTTAGTTCTTTCCTTTGAAATTCCATTGAAGAGAAAACTGACATTCAATTTGATGAAACCAAAGTGAAACATTTTTTGTCCAAAATGGTGGAATTTTCAATTGAATTGGTGAGATTTGTGAAGCCTCTGGTGTACTAGGAGTTGGAGTAGATTCTTGATTATTCATTATGGTCCAATTGAATTAATGATAATAAAAAGTACAGTTCGGGGTCACCAAATAAGGCTTGTGCCTTATATAAATATACTAACACAAAATAAGTTAATTAAAAGAAGTGATTATAACATTGAAACACTTTTGTATTTAGAAAGAACTACAATAAAATCAAATATAAAGTTTACAAACTGATCAGTTACCATAAATGTCTCGTATTCGTGTTTGTGTCGTGTTTAAATGTTTATTTGTTATTTTCGTGTAAATGTGACGCTCTTCGTATGAAGAAATATTATTTGACAATCCGGAGGCTAACAACTACAATGAAAATAGCATAGTTAGTTTATTTCAGCACCATAATTCACCTAATAAAGGGATCAAATTTATTTAAGTTACGGCATGCTTTCAGTGCAATGGCAAATATCCATTAAAGCTTTAACTTAAACACAAACACAGTTAAACATGAAACAAAACGAAGAAGGGAACTAAAATTAGGTGATTTGTTCTTAAATAGAGACGATGAAAGCAAATAATTTACTACGGGTATACCTATAATAAGCTCTAAAACAATCCTCCATGGTTAATTTTATTTTGAATACTTAAACAAGGTACTTTTGCAATCACTAAGATTAAGACATATTCTCAATCTCTCACGGACGGAGCTGACAGTTTACTTCAGATTCTCGAAATACATGGCAGATTGTTGAAATTAGTTAAAAAAGGATCCAGAAGCTCGCAAGCCACTCTGCACTGTGATTGGTTCAAAATGATGTCATCTGTATTTCGTACGGTGTTGCTGCTTTCATTTCCTAGCGACTAGTGACTACCAACTCACTTCTCAACTGTTGGATTTCTGTTTCTAAAATACCAAATCCTGTTGTTGGTCGAGTTCAGTGTTGACGATTGACTCAACTCTCAACCATTTCAAATATGGAGCCCTTGGTGGTAAAAAGTCAGCCTTTATTTCGCCACACGTAAGTTCGTCAACGTCTGGGTGGGACAGTGCATTATTTAACAAAAGAATAGCACGTGGGGGGATGTCATTTTCTTGGCTAAACCGTTTAATAACAGATGGTACAAATTGGTCATTAAACCATTCTTTAAACAGTTTCCCGTACATCCAGCCTCTCTTCTGATTCCTATATTAACCACTGGAAGTGACTTCATGTTGATATGTTTGAATTCTCGTGGCTTAGCAGCTTTGCCTATCATCATGAGAGGAAGCTTATGGTTAGCAGCAGTTTTGGAACAAGCCACGAGGGTTACTCGATCCTTACACATCTTAAACCTAGGAGTACGACTTTCTGATTTAGAGGCCAAGCTCTTAGTTGGCAGTGCTCTATAATTAAGACCGGTTTCATTGGCGTTGGGGGGAATAACTTCCTTCACTTATTAAATTATCGAATAAAGCAAGGTATTCCTGCGCCGCAGCCTGATCTGAAGAAAGTTGTTCACCGGTGACAGTTAGCTGCTGAATACAGTGGCGTTTTTCCACCGGTCATACCAACCACCGTTGCTGGCCGTGAAGGAACTGTCGCCATTTAACAACTGTATTGCTTTTTCTTGAACAATAGGTCCACTTAAAGGGGTCCCCTAGTGATGTGGGCTGGGAATATTCCCAGTGGGATGGAACTTATAAAATGGAAATATTGCCGGGAATATTTCTTTGGCCCGGAACTCTGATGATTCCCAAATATTGGAAATTTATGAAAATTTTAAAATTTTGAAAATTTTAACACATATTGACAGTTACAGAACCTTAAAACTATGTTTACTTAAGTAAATTCATAAGTTACAGTTTAATCCAAGAGTTCCATTATTCCATGCAATAATTTCCTGTATAAACAAATGGGGATTTATGAAACCAAATGGATTTTAGTTCTTTAACTATAAAAACTTGAGGTACGGTATTTATATATGAAGCATTGTTTTTAGAACTCATGTTTAAACATCCTTTGGTATAACATATTCGTATCAAACTATATTTTACAATTCTCTGTTTCTTTTTCCAGCTTTACAATTTGGCATTTTGAAGCAGTTAGGCCCACACATTGCCATACAAGAACTAGTACATTAAAGTTTTAACAAACAAAAGGGGAATTAAAACTACATCATCTAATAGTAACTTAGTTACAGAATTTTAAAACATTGAAAACCCAAGAATTTTAAAATTTCTAACAAGGAAGTGAAGTCTAGATCAGTAAACATTGAGCTATATTTTATCTACAACCAAAAATAGAATGTAGGAATGCTCTAACAAAAGTATGAAAATAAAAATTGATCATAACCACAGTTTAGCTCTTACGAGTTATTTAATTGGAATGAGCTGAAATGCGAAAATTTAGTTCGTTCTTACTAGGCAAAAGAGGGAATTTTCCCCTCCCCTTAAACCCCTGAAAACTGCCATCACTGCATCGAGAGGTAATATTTGCCATTGGACTGATCCATCTGCAGCATTAATACTGGCAGTTTTCTTGACCCTATCGAGCTATTTGAGGCCATAGGTTTTGTCTTAAATGTATGGAAAAGTCTAGCTGATTACGGAGAAAAGGAAGGCTTATTCTCAAGAAAGTTTCTTTGGGAGGGATGGTTGATGAGAATAAAATTATCAATACGGAATACGGAAGATATAATAATACGAAAAGCAAAGATATCATAGGCTATATGTATTCAAATCCCATCAAACCTTTTTGTTTTTTATATGTAGTCTTAATTTTATGTTAAATTATTATTATTTTTTTCAAAAAATATTTTTTATTTCCTGGGTATTTCAAAGGTTATTTTTCTGATTTGTGTATTAATCAATTACAATATTTTGTTAACATAAGAGTGTTCTTATCAGACAGCTTATACAATTATAAATTCCCAGTTATTAATTTCAATTACAATTTTGTACTATAATATAATTAAGTTTTTGTGGTTGATTTAACCATATAATTACAGCTTTTACCTATTAGGTAACAATTTTTAAACCTATCTTGTTAATTAATCATAAATTCCCGGGAATTTCCTGGGAATTTTTCACTAGTGCATCGACATGTGTCGTGACATGTGCCTGCGACTTGTATTAATGGAAACGTAGCTTTAGACCGTATAAACTGAGGTAGCCTAATCCATAGACATTAAATGTTGACTAACTAAAGTTACATTAATAAAGAACCATTTGAGCTACTGTAAATGAAACTGTTTCACCTTTTAGATCAATTAGGCTTATTTAAAGTTTTATTTTTGCTGATAAATTTATCTTCATCAAAGTTAATTAATTATAGGCTTATTATCACCATAGTTTATTGATCATGCTTTCTTGAATTGCAGGCACAGAGTAGTATGAAGTATCCACGACAGATTTCAATGCCTTCCGGAATTCAGCTTTGGCTGGAAGAGCAGTTAGAAGCCCGTGGTGTTGATGCAAGAGTTTACTCCAACTACATTCTAAGTGTTCTTTCCAACGATTCCTCTGAACTCTCTGTCAAGCCAAAGGTAAGTTTGAGTTCATCTAAAGCCTTGAGCTATTATAAAGGTCTGATGCAACCAAAACTGTACATTGTTTCACTTAGGCTACATCTTCCTTAAATATTATAAAAACCAAGATGAAATTTGATATAACACAAATATAAAACTTATAAAAAAAATTTCCCTACACAAAAACTGTACTCCTCTGGAGTTTCTTAACCGATTTTGACCATTCAAATCTCATTAGAAAGAGCGTGTCACGCAGATGTACAAACTGATCTTAAATTTTTTTTTAAAGTCCCTTGGGCTCTGCCCCCAGTGATTTTTACTTTCTCCCCCTATACCATTAGTATATGGAGAAAGTATTGTTTTTGTCAAAATGTTCGAGTTTGAATGGATTATCTCTTTTGGGTTCCCCTGAACACAAAAAAAGTGGTTTTCGAAGTAATGCCTGTGTGTGTCTGTATTCACCGAATAGTGGCATCCTTCACAGGCACACGGGCGTACTGTGGCACCTTGAAAAATTGTGGCACCTTTTTCAGGGTGCCACAGCTAATTTGATCATTTTTGAGGGTTTCCAGCATTATTACGTTGTTTAAACATCACATGCCACAATTGAGTATTTTTCATCTCGTCGATGTGTGTTTAAGTAGCGCAGGCACACGCCGAATTGTGGAACACGAAACCATGCCAGCAGCTAGCGCGCCTCGCGTCGTCCACCGGAACTACAACTTCCTTAATGCTGCGTTGCCAATTCTCGCGCCAGCCTACACTCTAGTTTTTAATAGTGGCACCATGCCGCAATTCAGTGTACATCAACAGTGTGTGGACATGATGCCACTTAATGAGTTGTAGCGCTTGAGCAGTGTGTAGAACAGTGCAACAAGCAACTAATACACTAATAATACTGTACTGCCACGTACTATTAAACCATTTAAGTACCATAAATAATATACTCTTGCTCCGAGTGGTGAACGATGTTACACATTACAAATATAATTTGTGTAGTAAATAATTATTTAAATTGTTTTTATGCCACCATTTAAAATTTATATTTTTATTTAAAAACATTGTATTTGTATTGTAGTTACTTTGTATCAATTGCATTTTTAAATTGAAACAATAACAATGTTTTAGGTTAGAACACTATATAAATTGCCCTATGCTGCAATTTTTTATCTTGCAAACTATTTCGTGCTGATACTTCTATTTTATTAACATTCTAGTCATGTTGAGAAAATATTTTACAATTTTTTTGAATCACACAGTGAAGGTGGATTTCGATGCATCATTGCTGAAAGTTATGTTTTGCTTCTCACTCTCAGAGTATTCCAAAGACATATAATGTTTCAATCCATGTTCAAATGTTACATGAGGTAAACATACAGGGTGAGTTTTAATTGTCCCCCCCCCCCAACTTTTTTCTACATTTTTTCAAATATCAATCCCAGACCACTTCCAAACATTGTTGGGTAGTAAGTACTTCATTTTGACAAGGTGGTCATTTCCGGCCGCCATCTTGGATCCGCTTGATTGGATGCAAAATATTTTTGTCAAATGTAAAGGTGGGGTTGTGACCCATCATTTCGAACTAAATTTTTACCCTGATTACAATGCCACAAACCGTTTTTAAAAATCTTGATTCATTCTAAAGTTATGAGGGCTTTTTAAAACTTTATTTTTAGCCCATTTTAACATTATGCAATTACAAACTAAGACCATAATCACAAAATAGTGCTAGATAAAGATAAGTATACACTACCAGTAATTGTCGACCTATTTTCACTTGGTTATGACTGATGTATTTTTTTCGGCCGCCATCTTGGATCCGCCATTTTGAAATGTGATAAATTATTTTAAATATGAAGGGGGTATTGTGACCCATCATTTCGAACTAATTTTTTAATCTGAACTTAATTCCGTGATCCGTTTTTCATTTTCATTTTTCGATTTTGAAATATTGACATTTTTAACAAAAAAAATGCAATATTTCATAAATAAAACTTGATAACAAAAAATAGATTGCGGAATTGAGTCAAAATGATGGGTCACAACACCCCCTTTATATTTAAAATAATTTATCACATTTCAAAATTGTGGATCCAAGATGGCGGCCGAAAAAAATACATCAGTCATAACCTAAAACCTAGTCCTAAAACACTGGTGCACGGTCTTTTTAGTGGTTGTCAATTTGATACAACCCAGACTCTCCTGTTCCCGACCTGGATGATGCCTAGTTATTAAATTGCATTTTTAGTTACACAATATTGTACTTGCAATCAATTTAAATCTATATTTATAAAAGAGGAAGTTTGTATATATATATATATGTGTGTGTGTGTGTGTGTTTGAACGTTATGGACTCCGAAACCGCTCGACTAGTGATGTAAAATACCTGGGTATTTAAAACTCGGGGTAAATACCCATAATCCAGAAATACCCGGGTATTTCTGGGTATTTATGAAATCGATTGAAATTAATTCATATTTACCACTAAATATCTTATTGTTATCATTACATGATAAATTAGGATAGTCTATAACACCTTTTACAGTAACTTGAAGCTTTGCTAGTACCTTTTATTGAATGATTTAGCACTTTTTTGTTATAAAATCAAGACAACACCTCATCAGAGAAATAGTGAACCTAAACCTACTTCTATTGTTATTAAATTATGATAGTTAAAATTTGTATTGTGTAAATGGCTTGGATGGAAGGCTAGACAGACCCAAAGCCTGATTGACATAGGCAGAATGGCAGAATACTGAAAGTACAGTAGACTCCCTCTCATCCGGACTCCTCGGGACCGAGGCTAGTCCGGATAACGGGTTTTCCGGTTAAACCGATGTCCCCAAAAATTTTTTGTATCACAAGTTTATGAAATTAGTTTTTTTTTATACCATTGATACCAACAGATATTATTAAATCCTGCCATCCTACAGATTGAATTTTAATTATTTTCTTAAGTTGTTTACACATAGGCTACTACTATGTTAAATTTTCCTGTTTTTCTAAATAATAACTATTACTTTACAAATTATTTTTCTTCACTTTCAATAAAATAAATTCATCCATCTATCATTGAAATCATTAAAAAAAAAAAAAAAAATTATAAGTAGCCAGGACCAGTGCAACCATGCGACCAGGGTATTTATGCTTTATGCTAAGACCTGGGTATTTATGGCGATTATACCGAGAAGTAAAATGCTAGTAGTGTCCATATGAAATTTTGTTTAACACATTTTATTATCATTTTACTATCCTTACAGGGTAATAATTGCAAAAAAACATCTCAATCTTCTCTAACTTTAATACAAATTATAAATACCCAGTTTTTGGGTATTTACCCGGGCCTGGGGTAAATACCCAGGTAAATACCCAATTTATATTTACCTACCCACTGGGTATTTACCCGGCCCACATCACTACGCTCGACAGATTGTAATAAAACTTTCAGGCATTATTAAGCATTATTCAAGGATGGTTAGTGTGAAGTCTGGTGCAGATCCGTCAAAAGGGCTCTGCCCCAGTGGCTCTGGAGTTTCCCATGTTAACCTTATGAGTACTCATATTTAAATAGAATTAAAGAATCTTAACAGCTGTTTCAACTAAACAATTTGCTTCTGTGATTATCAATAGCATTAAAAGGTTACAAAATGTACCAACAGGGTGCAGCACTATTGCTTGTCTAAATGTTTAGCATCATTACCCATATTTATATTTATAAAAGAGGCAGTTTGTTTAATAAATAATTGTTGATAGTGTGTGAATAAGGAGTTTTAATTTTTAAGTGCGTAATTCATTAACTTATTGACTTTCTTTTTTCTAAAATGTTTATAAAAACCTATTGTATTTGTATGGTTTATTTCCCAAAAAATAATGTCTGGAAAACAAAAGTAGACAGTTAATATTTTAACTTAATACTTTTAGTGATCAGAGGAGATGAAGCGTGTTTATTTACTTCACTCTCATTTATCATCACCTTACACATATACACACACTAATAACTGTGTACGAAGCAATTGTTAAAAATGTGCGGAACTGGGACCACTTCTCAATCTTATTCTATACGACAGTGTCAGGAATAATTACCTCATTTCCAGGGAATACTTCTATTAAATGTATAAGCTGTTTACCTTTGGTAGGTTGTAGCTTGACAACTATTCAAATTTGTTTTTGAGGTTTATCGGAATAGTGTGAATTATATGTCAAGTTTGGTGATGAACATAATCCCGTGAAAAGACTCAAATTGACACAATCCCTGGATCGATTTTGTTAAATCATGTGTCTTTGGAAGGCATAAACTCTTTGAGTTGCTTTTTCGTTTGATGTGTATTTTATAGCGGTAAGTTTAATAGTATTAAAGTTATAAAGCGATAAAATCGGGCCATTCATTTTAAAACACCTGGTATATTTGATCTTTTACATAAGTCTTTAATTAGGGTTCCTGTGCTAAGAGAGTTTATTGAAAAATGATATTTTACTGGGCACATCAAGGCATTTCATTCAAGTTTGCGGTTGATAGGTGTGCGGCTTACGATTTTCTCAAAAGTTCATAATCCTTATTTAGCCTAATAATATAGTATTTAATATTTCAAAAACATTACAAGTGGGTGTTACCGAAAATATATTTTTTTTCTGGTGGCAACGAGTTTCTAAAGTTAAAATTTATATTTATAAATCATCAAAAGTTACGAATTCCCTAATTCCAATATTTTGTAGATCTTGTAATTTCATTTTGTACTTGTAATTTATTTTTGTATAATCATGTCTGTGTCTGTGTCAAAACTAACACCCTTTGTACCATGGTAGCCATAATAAGGCTGTTATAATAACGATCACAAAAATAGCAAATGAAAATCCACAAATCTTAATAGAAATAGTACGATTAAGATCATAAACGTTAACAAATCATGCCACTGGTTCAAAGTAAACATGATTTTTTTGATACTTAAATTGTTTTAGCTTAGTTTCAAGTATTTTATACTTTTCCTAGGAATCAAGTTGAAGATATTAACGACATAGAATACAATGTAAGACTAAATTACTTACGTAATTCCCGTCACAGCTCAATAAAATATGTCTATTCAGGACATGTTTCGGTGTTAAAACACCATCGTCAGCTTCAGGTACATAGTGTAGAGTTGATCAGTTGTTAACATCGTCAACAGCTCGTGTTAACAGCTTGGAAATTCTACACACTTGCAGAAAAGGGAAAAAGATGTACACTCTAGAGGAGTATGAAATATACAAAAGTTTTAACAACGTTAACACCCGTGAGACTACATTTAACGAAAAACTGCAGTTCAGTTCCTACACCATTTTTAATTCACTCATCAATAACTCCGTCCATCTTACAACAGCTGATCCTTGCCCAATATCTCTCTTTCTCTCTCACACAACTGATAAGCATAAGCTGGTCTAGTCTGTCCCTTGCTACCTGTGCGGTCGGTCATCTTTGTTAGAACAGGCCTGTTTTTTAAATGTTTAATTGTTTTATGTATTTATTCGTGTCCGTACTGTGTTTATCTTCTGACGATGTTAACAACTGATCAACTCTACACTATGTACCTGAAGCTGACGATGGTGTTTTAACACTGAAACATGTCCTGAATAGACATATTTTATTGAACTGTGACGGGAATTACGTAAGTAATTTAGTCTTACATTATGTCCAACAGCTCAGGGGCTACACACATGGATTTAAATTGTATAGAATACAATATTATATTATTATCTATGACTTAATCTTAATTTTGATTTATTCCTCCCGACATTTTATTCGTTTATTGACATTAAATCCAATTGTAAAATTGTTGGTTTGGTACAATTATAATACCGGTTTGGTAAAATATGTAAACAAATCGTTAAACTAATGAGCATTAAGTGAGAAAGACAAAGTGATAGGCGTGGGCAACGAGCTAGGGTATAGGCACGTGAAGACAGAGAACTGGCAACAGCGCACGCGAGAAGCAAGGGGGACAAACACACTGCTCAAGCGCTACAACGCATTAGTGGCATCCTGTCCACACACTGTTGATATATACCGAATTGCGGCAAGGTGCCACTATTAAAAACTAGAGTGTTTGATGTTAAAATGGAATGTTCTTTATAAATATCAATATACACAAGATTTTGCCACCTTCCTTAATCCACTGGTGGTCGCAGTTTGAAAGATGCCACCATTTCGTGTTTGCGAGTATTCGGCAAAGATATGTGTGTGTGTGTGTGCGTGTCTGTATGTGCGGATCTGTACAGAGCTACCGATTTTGATGACATTTGGTATGCAGGTACTAATTCATAATATCTCCAGGTATTTTTCATTTTTATGAAATTTCTATTTTTGATGGTGATTTTTCCATAAAAACCCATAAAATAGCGGAAAAATCGAATGCTATCAAAAATGGCCAGAAACAATTTTAATATAATTGTAGTATGCTATAGCCCTTTAAACCCTTCTGAACGAAATTTTACAGATCCCATTCCCGTAAAAATTACGGTTCAAAAGTTATTGTAACTTGTGTGTTATTTTCCCATAATAAAAAATCTGATTTTAGAAAAAAAGCCGGTTTTGGTACAAATTAGTATGTTATGGTCCTTTAAATTCTGAACAAAATGTTACAAATCCCATTCCAGTTAACATTTTGGTTCAAAAGTTATTGTAACTTGTGTTATTTTCCCATAAAAAAACTCATAAATTCATACTTACTCCCACCGCTTACCCATGTTAAAGGTTGTTGACAAGATAATGGGAGAAAGTATATGTCAGATTGCTAATATTGTTTATTATATAATGTGCCATTTTTTTCTCCATCTCAAAATACTTAGCCTACAAGAATAGTATTTCATGTAGAACTTATTCTCTGTTTTAGGACCGTCAAGTGAGAATTTTAATTGACGAATTGAGGATTAAATTAAAAGGATTGCAAGAAAAAGGTTAGTAAGTTAGGCTTATTACTGAATTTTCTAATATATTATGTCATACTAGATAGAGTGCATTGGGGTAAGTGCATCAACGGGGCAAGTGTAATAGTCGGCCATATGGTTTTTATAAGATGTCATAAAAATTTAAACTTATTGTAAAAGTATAGGTTTGTTTCGTTAGGTATTAAGTTGATATAGTGTATTCTTTATTATTCTATAGTATTTCAGTTATAAGTTTTCAGACCCTATATTTTACCTTCAAAACCAAGCTTGTCACTTTTTTTGTTAAATCATTACTACTTTTTCAAAAATTTTATTTTAATATGGGATTTAAAGTGTAGGGATTAAGCCATTATAATAAAAAAAAAAAACTTCTTGATCAGCATTGTACGTGTTATTAAATTTACGGGAAGTAAATAAAAGAAACGTCTTATAACAGGCGAATGTTCGCCTATTGGGTCTGATGATGATTGGAGTGTCCAATCGAAATCGATCACCACTTACCATCTTTTTTGTGTATTTACCGTCTTGTGATTAACAGTATAAGCGTAAATATATGTTTAAGTGTTATAAGACGTTTCTTTTATTTACTTTCCGTAATAAAAAAATATAATAATAACCATAAATCTGTAATGTTTTAGTTGGATGCATATTTCAAAAAAATATTTTAATATGGGATTTAAAGTGTAGGGATTAAGCCATTCTTTAATAAAAAAATATAATAAAAACCATAAATCTGTAATGTTTTAGCTGGATGCATATATTACACTTGCCCCACACAATATAGGCTCTTGGGGCTTAAACCCCTTGGGCTAAATTTTTTTCATTATTATAAAAAAGAAAAAGAACTAGGTAAGTATTTCCATTATATCACTTTAATTTTAACAACTTATTACCTATCATCTTATACCTATTGCCTGAATGTAAAGTTCTACAACGACAAAATTTTACAATTTTGAGTCTCTGAGAGAGTTTGGCCCAATTCCTATTATTATAAACATTTTGAACTTAAATTGATTTTGGGGCATTCGGGAAGTTGAGTTGCATTTCATAAAATATCTCAATAAGTATAAGTGCGAGAGAGTTAATTTGAAAAGAACGTGAAAGAGGGCAAGACAGAGATCACCACACTTGCCCCAATAGCAACTAAATAAGGTAAGGAATTTAATAATGGACAAGTGTGACAGCTGGTAGACCTTTTTTACTTTATTGCAAATGTTCTTAATTATAAAGACTAGAGGTCGTCCAGTGGTTTAAAAATCAACCAAAATAAAACACATACAAATGAGTCTTTGTTCATCAAAAAATTGACTTAACCGCTGAAGGCTAGGACATGTGTGGTCAGTAGCAATTTTATCAATGTGATCAGGTAAGTAACTTGATTGAGTCCGTCTCACAAGTAGGTGTAGGGCTGATGCTCGTTCCTTATAAGTAAGATATGGTTCAGTAATCTTATCTTTCTTCTTTTGGCAACTATGCATGAACCTTGATATCCATCCTATACAAGATTGTAGTTTGGTGAACTGTGAATGTTTTCCAACTAAGGCAGTGAACTCATTCTTTGTCTCTTTGGCGGCAACAAGGGCGAAACTCAAGCAGTGACTCGTTGGGTGTTAGAGCAGGTTTAGGTTGACTCGGCCAAGACATTGGTTCCTCCATGAGCCAATTAGGTCCAATCCACCATAGTGAATTTCTTAAGATTTCATGAGATAGTAGCCCTCTTGAGGCGTAATCAGCAGGATTGGTATCTGTCGGTACAAGCAGCTGTTTAGTAAGTGATTCAATCGTTTTGTCTATTACGATTTTGTTAGTGTACATTATACTATCGATATAAGCTATGATCAATTAACATAAGCTATGTATCGATTATACATACTTTCGATACATGCGATTGTTTACATTCAAAATTTATAACTCAGTTAACAACAGCCGATTTTTACTCCCTAGGGGCTAAAAAAGATTTTTACTCCCTAGAGAGTAAAAAAATGCTACTTTTGACCCGCAACGCATGCATTAAAACAGCAGTTTTTGCTGCAGTATGATAAAAAAAAGCATTTTTAGTCCCTGAGATGTAAAAATCAGCTGTTGTAAAAATTTTGATTAATTTTGATTGTAAATTTTGATTGGGGTAATCGCATGGATTGAAATAATTCATAGATTGGTTTTAGCTTAGTGTTGCATTCTTGTCAATAGTTCGACATAAATTTATGGTATAATGGACAGTAACACAATTGTAATAGTCTAAATGATTGAATCACTTACTAAAACAGCAGGTCATTTATTCATGCTTATATATTATTCATTTTCTTTCTTTTAATAACAATAATCATAAAAATAATTTTATAATCATTATTTTTATGACAATAATTCAAAATAATTTATTAAATGAGGCTAGCAGCATATTATACACGAATGTAGAAACATAACCTGATTTGAGTTCCCGCCAAATGCTAAGCGAAAGGAGCGCAAGCGCGCTGCTATCTCGCGGCGATCTAACAGACTACTACACCGAGTTCCCGCTGCAATGGGTTGCAAAAAACATACATTTTCTTAAACCATATCACATGTACAGTTTACGTTCGGACCTTCTTGAAACAAAAATTTTATTCGATAATTAATTGTTGCAGAGGGTTTGCTTTTTTTGAATTTTAAATGTTCCTTTCAAAAAACCTCAATTAAATTGGAAACTTAAACAAGCGTATTTTTGCCATAAGTATTTAAATATTTCTTAAATTCAAAAAATAAAAAGTAAACCCCCTGTAGAATTGCACTCTCTTTCCAATGACACATCAAACGTATGTTAAAAAATAACGGCGCTATAAGTTATGGTTCAAAAGATTGAATTGTTCTTATGGAACATCAATCGAATATGGCCGACTGTGACTGCCCACTCTTAAAACCCAATAAACATTAAATACTTTTTTTATTAACAACCAACAGTAAAATAAATTAAACTACCTACTAATAATTAACATAAACATGAATATTAGATTAATTAGAACATTTAGTGGTCAATATTTCTTTAGTAAATAATATTTATATGAAACTGAATCGTACCTCATTCCAGTTATAGTATTTAAGATGCCCTTTGGAGTTCAGAATACAATATTTACTTGTTTCATTACTGTTATTGGTGGTGTGTGTGCTCTATTGTTACAAACTTGTGTGGAAACAGTGTTAAAACAATAATAATGATACAAAAAAGTCAGCAGTTTTAAAAATAAACTGCCAAAATCTTCAATTTAAAAACTTTTGAATATTGAAACTTGGTGATCAATCTCTAAACCAAAGGTTTTCCAAAGTTTTGTTGGTTTTGAGATTTGAGATTCAGTTTTGACACGCCACTAGTGAGAACAATATACTTGCAATTCAACAACAGTTAATGGAATTAAAAGGCAAACAAAAAAAGTCTTACAAAATACAAATTATTGGCCTAGGACTCAAAGGGTTAAACCTAGGGCTATCATTGTAATAGAAGGTTATTCAAGTGTTTTTCGATGATAAAATAGTTTTGTATTTTTAGTTTATGCAAAATACAGTTGTAATCATATCTCTAAGTGTCTTTAGTGTTGATTTTTCTAGTAGATAGGTACCATAATGTATTTTATAAAACAATTACTTGAATCGGAGATTTGAATTGAATTATATAAACCAATGAAAAGCAAAAATAACTTTGTTTACAATAGGTTTTTTCATCCTTGGTAATATTAAATTTTGGACTGTCTTTGGAATCCTGGAATAACTGTCTTTTCATTTTCTTTCCATACTGTATACCCTAAATAGAGTAGTAGTTGTACTTCTGTATTTGTCACTTGTTTTTTTTCTTTGGGTCTTTATTTTTACACTTATATGGTTTCTTTTACAGGGCAGTTTCCTAAATCTGATAAAGTACCTAAATCAATTTGGGGTGAAAATTCTCAATCTCTTCAAGAAGAAGGTTTCAGGTAATTTTTTTCACTTGTTTTTTAGTCCCACAAATGTCTACTGTCTCTATTCTTGTTTTTTGACCAATTACGCTAATACAATTTTTATTTAACAAAAACAAAGCTTGGTAAACATTACATATGAATCTAATTAATATGAATTTTACTGACGGGAATGGGACGGTGGTCCTGTAATCCAGCTACTAGGTCACGAATTGTGGATATTTATAGAGGTGCACTGTGAATGTGTCCACCGACGGGGAAAACCGGGAATTATGCGTGAATTTCGTATTTTACCGGGAATTTCAAATTGCCGCGGTCGCGCATGAAATTGACGTTTCCACGACCGCAGGAGACGATGATGATGTCCAAACTGCCGTGGGATTTGTTAGTGATTTTGCCGCAATCGCGCATGACGATAATGAGGTATACGTGACCGCAGGAAACGACGATGACGCTTCCATGTCCGCGGGAGACAACAATGACGTTTCCATGGCCGTGGGAGACGACAATGACGTTTCCGTGACTGCGGGAGACGACGATGACGTTTCCGTGACCGCGGGAGACGACGATAACATTTCAGTGACCACGGGAGACGACAATGACATTTCCGTGACCGCGGGAGATGACGATGACATTTCCGTGAGCGCGGGAGACGACGATGACGTTTCCGTGACCGCGGGAGATGACTATGAGATGACCGTGCCACCTTGGCACCTGAGATATCACTTTTGATAGCCTAGCTCAGTGGAGAAGGGCGTGAGTGGTGGGGGAAATCCGTAGCTTATCCAAGTCTGGATTACTGATAGCAGGTCACCCTTGAATTGTTACCAAGTTGGTCGGGATTTGCTCGAGAGAGGGCGCCACCTTGTTGTTAGGATGGATCAGTTGCAGGACTCCCAACAAGGAATTTTTTCCTGCCCTAAGGTATCATCAAGTAAGCCCGCTACCATGCACTCAAAAGTTTAATCTGACTTTTCAAAAACTAGGCCTTAAGCACTTTGATGAGCAGTATACCTTTAAATTATTTAACCACCCAAACTCATAAACAAAACAAACAATCAACTAAATTTTGATCCATTTCAGGCTTTTTATAAATTATTTTGTAGTTGACAACTCAGTAATCAATCAGATTCAAAATTATCTAGACAATAACCTGCGGTACTACTAGGTTAAACACAAATAAAGACCATATGTTGAATTGTATACACTTGTATTGCCTATTTCTCTTCCAAAGCTAAGATCTTAAATACTACAAGTGAAGGAGAGCAATTAGGATAGTGATAAATAGCTCACTTAGTGAGATTCATGCAAATAACTTACTTAATTAAATACTGGCCAGTTCTTTTAAATACCAAATCAAGTCCGTAGGAGCACTCCAATAGGAACTTAATTGAAATATAATAACTTATTCTAAAAATATAACAAACACATACCCTCATGCATAAATATAAATACACCTAATAGCTAGCTTCAATTCAGGAGTTAAACAAGACAATAAATATTTCTATCTCAGAGCTCAGAACTGGATATAATTAGTCATTCACTGCAAATCCTTATCTTGCCAGAGTCCAAGGTCACAGGTTCCACTTTATAGTGACCGATGCCGCCCGGCCGTCCGGGGTGATTCAAAGGGTGTGAAAATGAAAGTCTACTCACCGAATAGAAGCACCGATAACGGCACACAAAGGCCGTATTGTCCATACGGTCCACAACCGGATATCAGAGCACAAGTGTGACCCGCGCGTAATGTCCTCTGGGTGCAAACAACGGTGCTGACACCCGCAATGGTCCAACAGTCCTGCAGACGATAACACTCGTGGGTCAGCAAGGTCACCAGTCAATGCCAAGACGCAGGTCCAGGGAAAAAGCCCTTAAAACAAAATCACTCCAGAATAGTTTTTACTCCAACAATATGAATTAAATAGGCTACCAATAGTATATACAGTTCCACACAATACCCTATTCGTATTTCTAATCCAGTCGCAGCATAAGCATTAATGACACTTTAGTAATCAGTTTTTATCTGAATACATTATTAATAGTTTACAAAACACTCTTGCTCAGTTTCTAATGAGAACCTAGTGCACAATGATAAATACCGTACTTTAAAGCAGGGTGTCTAGTAGTCGGGAAAGTCGGGAATTAGTATTGAATTTCAAAATGGTCTTGAAAAGTCGGGATTTAGTCTTAAATTTGATTTCAAAGTCGGGAATTTTCATGATTTTGCCGCGATCGTCGTCTTGCGTTTACGTAACCGCAAAAGCCAATGATGATGATGTCTACACGGCCTCGAGAAATGTTCACGATTTTGCCGCAATAGTGGACGACGACGATGACGTTTCCGAAACCGCGGGAGATGACGATGACGTTTCCGAAACCGCGGGAGGTGACGATGACCTCTTGAAAAGTCTGGAATTTGTCTTGAATTTTATAATGGAAATAAACTAGACACCCTGTTAAAGTGAATAACCAATGTTAGGGTGTAACATGTAGTCAATAACTCAATAGGCTAGGTATCAGTAAGAATGACAGTTGTTACTCTAGCTTTGACTGAAATTACTTATTACAAATCTAATAATATTTTTTTTTATTTTTTATTTTTTTTTATGTTCACAAATAATATTTACACCTCAACCTCATATTTACATTATATACAAAATAGCTATCCACAATCAGTTCAATGACTACGTTACATCTTGCTTTATTATAATGTTAGCAGAACAAAAAGGTTTAGTACATTTTGTCCCTTTGTTTGCCTTTTGTTTTGTGTAGTCAGTTTTGCAAGATTAATTATTCTAGCACGGTTAAAATAGCAATATAAATATCATGGCAACAACATGCATAAAGTTCATTATAATATTTACATTAAAATAACTAACTAATATTTCATTTTTTGTTTGTTAACCTTAGCACTTTTACAGTTAGATATTTTTACACAACTAAGGTTCTAAACTAATTATTTCTGCTATACTTAGTGTAAAACCATTAATTAGTAACTCATTGTTATTAATTCAATGTTTGCTCACATGTTCTACATGTCGTGAACAATCTCATTCTATGCCCAAGGCTTAGTTTAGTTTTTAAATACTTCAATATTTAATTATTAGGCCAAATTAGCTGTACTACTCATGAAACTTAAGTATAAAATTTTTATGACAGTAGCGGCTCACCTTAGCCAAATTCCAATTTAGGCTCACAAAAATCCAGCGATGCTGAAGGGCTTGATGTCGGTTACGGCTCTCTACCTAAAGTCTCGTGCACGCTCTCGTCTCTCTTTCTCTCTACTACTTAATGTAACAGACTCTCTACTTCCAATGTCGACTGGACAACGCTTGACGGTCAAAGGTTATGTAGCTTCCTTATCGCTCACGGTAGCCATGGCTGAGCCTCAAATCAACGGTTACAGCTGGGGTTCAACTCTGACTCCTCTGTTATTGTTGCAACAATGAAAGCGCGCTTTTTAATTTTGTTGTTTAATCATGTCATGTAGAGTGATCAGTTCTACATAACTATTGCATCGGTAAAACCGAAAGCCAATGTCACAACCGTGTGATACGATGATGATGTCCAAACGGCCGCGGGATATGTATAGTGATTATCGCGCATGCGGACGATGACATTTCCGTGACCGCGGGAGATGACGATGACATTTCCATAACCGGAAGACAGTGGTGATGTTTCTGTTACTGAGTGGGATATTCAGGATTTTTCAGTTATCGCAGAAAACGAAGATGGAGTCTCTATGACAGTGTTAGATGATCACGATATAAACCTCTCGAGTTTGGCTTGACCAAAAATTTCAAAATGGCACACTTCTAGAAAGTTTTTTTTTATATTTTGTAATATCCTCATTTACCTTTAACGTGGTATTTTTTTATAAGGGTTTACAATTTTAATTGGCTACGTGAAAATTTTGTAATTTCTGCATTAATTATTTCTGTAGGTCACTTGAGAAACAACCTATAACTCCAAAATTAAATACTATATGAAAGTACATAAAGACAGGGGTTGGTGTAGTAATCCTTCAGAAAATTTGGTAAAATTGAAATTATCAGTATTAGGAATCTATTTTTCAGGTGTCTGTACAGAGATTCGATAAAGTTTAGTTAGCGTTGGAAATTTTAGTATAAAAAGTACGACCTGAACTTCCTGGAATTTTTTTTTTACTCATGAAATTTTTCTGTTTGGCCTGGTGGACACGCTGTGTATGATGGTAATGGATATGACCTTTATCTCAACTTCTTTCTTGGGTAAAGGGTTTAAATAATGAGTGGTAATTGTTGATAGAAAACCATGAGAATGCTATTATCCATCTTCATAGTAATTTATCAAAATTAAAACTTATGATTTAAATACAATCCAAAGAAGAAAACAGAAAAAATACTGCTATCCGTGTTCAGTACCGCACTGATTTTGTACTGAGAACCGAAGTACCCCTAATAAAAACGCTTTTAAAGCTACAAGCTTGTGTTCAACAATTGTAAGTAGGTAGGCCTACTTTTAAAATTGTGTAAAATTTTGATAACAATCAACAACATTTAAACTTTGTTGTTTTGATGAATATATAATGAAACATGACATAGAGGCCTAGACAGAAGTTTTAATTATTCAAACTCCAACCATCCCAATTGCTTACAGAAAGAATTTCAAAGAACTCTTTCACAGAAAGAATTTCAAAAATCTAATAATTCAGTAATAATAATTGTTATGAAGAAGGCATAAGCTGTGATCGTGAAAAATTCTGAAATTCCCCCCTGGTTATGTAGAGATCACTATCGTCTTACACAGTCACAGAAATATCATTGTCTTCCATGATTGCGGGGAATGAATTTGTCGATTGCCAAATCATTGCACACATGTTCTGTGATCGCAATAGTGAAAGCTTGGCTTCACTCAGCCTATTTTCTATATAATTCCCCCAATTTTGGTAAAAATCCAAATATCGAAAGCATTACGGCCCCATTTGATTTAGATAATTGTAGTTCCACTGTATATATAATTGATCATTCTACCTAAAATTAACATTGATCTTCAGTAAGTTTTCTGTCCCAAGTTTTCTACTGGTATTTAGTGCTTTTCTTTGTTAGTAAATTGTTAAAATAAACCACCATTGACGGTAGAATGATAAAGAATAAAGATACAATACTAATCATATCCTATACCATATTTTTTTTTAACTTGACCAAAAGTTTGCTTCGATCATATTTCGATACTTTTTTCTTAAATCAATTAGTACTTGGTGCTCTAAATTCAGTACACTTAAACTGAATCTTATCTTCCAACTCCCAAGGTAAAAAACGCCATACACTCCATATTCCATGTACTTAACAAATGCCAATTTAGTTTTTAAGGAGATGGCTTAGCTATATTTCCATTATTGGCTGGACTAACCTCTGTCCCTGTGGAGTTTCTTTTTTATTGGAATAAAGTGGCTTTTTTGGCCATTAAATTACCTTTGACTTTTAATTTAAAACTATTGTTCTTAACATGTTAACATAGTTAATCACTGTACTTGATACTTGATACTTATTTACTTACTTCTTTCTTGATACTTAGCATTTCCACCTTTCACTAGCAGCATCCGTCCGCCTAATGGTCAACCACGGCATCTATTGATTGGTCCTTAAAGATTTTATTTCTGAGTGCAATGAGCCCTCAGTCCAGATAATTTCTAAAACCATACTAAATTAGAGGCCTAAGTTAAGTTTTCATTTTTTAAATAGAATTTTCACAAGGGTGGGGACCTAAGATGCTCTTACAGAACATTTCTATTAGATTGGTCTTGCAAAGGGGTGTTAAAAATTTCATTTGAACATATGTTATATAATAAAGAACAGAAACCTTTATCTAATATTTATGTTTTTGTCGTTTTAAATACAATTTTGTCTTTTTCAGCTACTACTCTGCACTCCCCTCTTCAAATTCAAAAGCTAAGTCAGGTCAAATCAACTCTTCTGTGGGATCATCACCTAGCATCTGGAGTGGGAAAAGAACTTTTGGGAGTTCAGTTGGGAAAAACCGCACAGTTTCTGAAGGCAACAACCGTGATAGCAAGATCAGCTGTTATTGGCTCGAAGAAGATAAGGAAAACAACGGCAACAACAGAGATGTTAAAGAGAAGTTAAGATCACGGTCCACTGTTAAACAGCAAACCCCTGAGAAAACTAATAGAAACATGGCTAAATCATTGGACCGTAAAGAAGATGTCAGTCGGAGATCAGACACCAACAAAAGCCGAAGACTTTATCAACAACCTAATGAATCAGCAAATGAATTCAATAACATCTTTTGGAAAAATGAAAAACCATTTGATGATTTAACCGGATGTGATAAGGACTTGCCTATGGACTTTCAACAACTGCTGGAGTCACCAGAATCTACCAAAGTAAGCTTTGACTACTCCCGTTTGGCCAGTATAAAACAGCCCCCATCATTCATTCAATGTGGTACTAATATTACAAGTTCTATTTGGTCTGAAAATGCTGAGGATAAAATGGAATGTTCCATGACCAGTGAAGCAAATAATAATGTCAGCATTGGTCTAGAAAAGTCTGCTTGGGGAGCCATGGGAGAAGCTTCTGTAAAAATTCCTACAACTGAGCTAGAACCGTGTAGTATGTTCAACATCAGCCATTGGAGTACTGGCAATTCTAATGTCTTCACAAATGACTCTTGGAAAACTGTCGGCAATAGTAAGGGGACCCTTGGAGAGATTGGAAAATGGTCTGATGTTGAAGGAACGAGCCTGTTGATAAATGACGCTGATAATTTCTTTTCTTCAATTGGTTCTAATTTGCATAGTAGTTTGACCACTTTGAATCACAATAAGGAAGATAGTAGTTTCACTGAAGTTATCCCTAAAATGCAGTCTGGATTTTTTGGTACAAAAGATATTGTTAATATCGAACCGGCTGTGAATTACAATGACATAACCTCGTCCATCAAAAAAGATGAGGAAGATCTACTGACCTCAATGAAAACACATTTTCGTCCTATCAAACACGAGGTTGTTGAAGTCGCTTCTTCAACTGTTGATCCTTCATTCCCTGATGGCACCACTTTTCCTATATCCAACCGTTTGGATGAGCCCAACTTTCATAAGAGTCCAGGTGGAGGTTTGTATTTGGATTCTGATGTTAACAAAAAGTATATGGCATATAATGATGCTGAAGACGACACTCCTAGTGAGTTTGTTCCCAAATTCCTTGTAAAAAGTTTGAAGAATGAAAAGTTTTGTCAGACAGACGAGTTTGTACCCTCAGCTCAAAACTGTACAGAGCTCGAAAGTGAAGAGATGTACTTCCCAGAGGATGAAAAGCTTGTTCGTAGTATGGTTGAAGGGGATGAAATAGAAGAGGAAGATGAAAATGTGTTTTTGAGTGGAGAAACGTGCATCAAGGTGGATGGCTGGATGGCTACTTGGCCTACAAGTGGAATTTGGAGCAATGAGCCAAATGTTCAGCAGATTTGGTAAGCCAGAGTGTTATCAAGTAACTTTAAAAATTATAGTAAACAGTTCATAATAGTAATTCTTCTATAACTTAAGTTTAGATTGAAGTTAAACTTTTATCTAAGGGAGAAAAAAAAAATCATTATTTATGATTGATTTTGTTTAAATTCCCTTATTTTGACGTATATATATAAATAAAATTCAGCGCTGTGTTGCTGAGGCCAAGTACCGACTGGGGTACAAATGGCCAGGGCAGTAAGTAAGTAAGTAAGTAAGTATATATATCATTTGAGCTCCTAAGCTATTTTTTAAGAAATTTTCTCGAGAATAATCTTTGTATTATTGGAAAAAAATTGCTATCATGTTAAATACATTTGCTTTGAGTTGTATAGCCTTACAGTAAACAATTTTACTTAATGAACCAGTTATAGAATTTTATTTCTGATATCTAACTGCACCGATGGTCAAAGGAATTTACAAGGGTCTTAACTAGGAATGGGTCGATTCTCGATTCCACCGATTAATGGCTTAGGAATTGGAATCGAGAATCGACCACTCAAAGTCGATTCCAATACCGATTCCCGACACGTCTGTGAAGATCGTGCTATCTGAAAATTACTGATTTTGCCGCAATCGTGCAAGACGACGATAACGTGTCCGCGACCACAGGAGACGATAATAATGTCTATATGGGGGATGATAAGAATTTTGCCGCGATCGCAGATGACGACGATAATATCATCGCGACTGCGGGAGGTGTTTATGATTTTGCCACGATAGCGGAAGACAATGGTGATGAGTTTTGCCGTGATTGAGTAAGACAATTATGATTTTTCCGTTACCACGGGGCAAATTCAGAATTTTTCCGCCATCACGGTATTCGATAATGATGTCAACACGACCGCAGGAGAAGGTAACTATGTATTGACGGTCATGGGAGATGATCATCATTTTGCGCAAGACAATGATAATGTCTACACGATCGCGGGAGATGTTAATGAATATGCAGCAATCGCAGAAGACGATGATGTTTCCGTTACTGAGCGGGGTATTCATGTTTTGCCATGACCGTGGGAGACAATAACAAATCTACAAGACTGCAGGAGACAATAGTTATGTCTACTCAACCGCAATGATGATGATGATCAGAATTTTGCTGCGATCGCAATATGATGTTAATGTCCACGTAACTGTGGGAGATGTTTGTGATTATGCCGAGGTACCAATGTACATTTACTAGTAGATTATGAACAATTTATGTTTTCATTTCATTTCATGTTCATCTAGAAATGAATAAGAGGAGGTATACCCCAAGTAGTAACTCGTTTCAATGAGGTAAAGAACAAATACATTGACAATGTATCCTTGGATGTTATGACTAACATCGATATATAACTACTGACTACGCCAGCAGTGGTTGCGTTCAAGGAAAAGAAGGGTGAGAGTGGGCAAAAGCGCAACGCAGAATGTTGCTTCTGCATTGTCGCGGCATATGTTAAGCTGTTATATACCTAAAAAACAGGTTTTAAGAGACTTCTTTTTTCAAATCATTTATCTTCTTGACATGCTCAATCATAATCAATGTAATGAGTAAACATAACAGTACTATTAAGTATTAACACTTATTCTTAAGGGTTTCTTCCGTAATTAACAAGATGATATTGTTTATCAACTAGATTCTGCTTGTTTAAATCTGTGTAAACATGGGTTGCAATCACTTATATAATTTTGTATGGCAATAGGATGAAATAAAAAAAATAATACAAAACAAGTGTTTATTTCACATAACTGTCTTTATAACGTTTACTATAAACGCTCACACAGATCACATGTTACAAAACAAAATGGTCTTTGTCAATTTTTGCCTTTAACCTAAGTTTGACTTTTTTGTTCTTTCTACCGTTTCCCTTTTTGCAAGGTGATCTTGAAAAAAAAATTTATGTAGGCCTAATTGCATACATACTTGTACCGTACACACATACCGACATACTTGTAGTTATTCCATATGCAACAATTAATTTGTTGTCTCCTTTTAGGAATATCAAATCAAATGATCCTTTATTCATTTTGGACATAAATACATGAATAGTGTCCATACAATAATAGTGACAAAACCTATCTTAAAAATACTGTACAAGAGTCAGTGGGAAAAATCATTTACCTTAAAATAGCATTTATTGCATTAAAACTTAAATAACTGCTTTTTAAACAATTCAAGGGAAGCTGCAGATTTAATCGAATCAGCAGGTTATTATAAAACTTAACACCAGAATAGTGGGGAGAAGATTTTAAAGTTGACGATTTGTGTTTAGGGTATAAAATGCAGTTTTTGTGTCGGGTATTATAATTATGATTGTCCGAATTAACAGAAAATTTAGAAATATTTTGTTTCATAAATATTAACAAACTATAGATGTACAGACTAGGAAAGGTAAGAATATTGTTGCTTTTAATTGTATTTTCACAAGAACCCCTAGCTTCAGATAGAGTATATTGTTCTAATGATTCTTTTTTTCAATTTAAAAACTGTTTTCCTTTTGTCAGAATTCCCTCAAAATATATATAAACCTATCCATGGTATACCATCATACGAGTGGAAACATCAGGTGTTCTATAATGAATGAGAGTTACAAAATATGCTTTATTTAGCTTTTTGATGACGTCTTTTATGTCAGTTTTCCAGGTTAATTTATGATCCACTGTTATTTCTAAAAATTTGGTGCAGTTAGCAAGGTTGCAAAATAGAGTAGTGTTTTTGTGTGAAGAATTGTTATTAACCTATTTATTTAGCTAATTAAAAGAGACTTGGATTGATTTAGTAAAAGTTATCTCTATTCGTTTGGCAGATTCGTAACAATAACATAAATAAATAAAAATTCATATGCTATAAGTGAAAATTTCTAAGTATTCAATTCCAAATTAATATTTAATACTAAGAAAACTCCATCTCTACGTTCAATTGTATGCAACGCAACTCTTAACCATTGTATTTTATTGACATTTTGAAACTTAAAAACAAACTAGGCACTAGTTATCACATGTATTTAAAAAAACTTAGTCTTTCTCGTAGCAGAACGACAAGACAAACAGCCAGGGTGCCAAATCACATATTCGTGCGTCTGACGATTGCCATGTGACATTAGAAGGCGGGAAATTAAATGTGGGAAATAAGGGAGGGATAATGTGTTTTGAGGATAATTAAGTAAACTTTTAAAGGCATTTCAATAAAAGTAATCATTTACAACAAAGGGAACTTAAAAATAATCTAATTACATTATGCATCATAATTATTAATTCAATCATAAAAAAAAAACTGCCAGTGTTTGTATGTAGTCGCATGGTTGCTGCTCAGTTCTTGCCCATTTAGCACCTGCGCGTCTATGGATACCCTCCCGCAGCACACTCATGTGTGCGACCGGATTTCAAACCACAGCGCTTATGGACAGCGTGCAATCCAGTAGTTATATATCGATGATGACTAATCATGACTCAGAATCCAATTTTTTAATGTACTTTGATGCAAGTAATTTATATAGCTAGGCAATGTCACAGTATATGCCTTATAATTGTGATTTGATGCATCAAATCAAATCAAATAAGAATTTTGATGCAGACCCCTAGTTTAGACTTAAATTGGCTCCTAGAATTTTTATTGCTACATTTATTTTTCTTTACTTGAACAAACATAACCACAAAATACTTTGTGGAAGGACACAAAGAAAGGAGTTGCTCTGTTGATGTAGTATAATCAATCCATTCTGACAATATAATAAAACTAAAAAGAAATCATAAGTATTGAGAATTAATAAACATTGGTATTGATACATCATTAGTAAAAAGTATTAGCTTTAGCACTATTTGACATAATGGAATCATAATTGAGAATCGAGAATCCATTTCAAAGAATCGGAATCGAAAATTTCTGGAATCGACCCATCGGACTCAACTTTTCTCAGGCAAGCTGCCTGAACTTTAATCCTTTTCCTGCTTTTTTGGGGTATTTTTATGGTGTATCTGGGTAATTCACCCCTGCTTTTCCCTTCCATTTGACAATACTGAGAGAGAGGGCTGGCTAGCAGTATTGTTTAGTGCTGCTATCTGTTGGGTTCTTGTAAAACTATGTCCACAACGGATGGGACGCAGTATATGCCTCTCATTTGGATCCAACTAAATTTAAACGTTTTGGTTTTGACGCACAAGTCCACGCAGCGCATTCGATGTTTGCGCCACTGGCATCGGTCGGCCATCGCACAGCCGCATTGAACGTGTTAAAAGGTGGGTATGCAGCTCAATGAATAGTGGTTTTGATGACAAGCATTATTATTGTATCTTAGGTGTGGAGCTAATGTCTGGAGCAACAACGAGGTGTCTACCAGTGTAGAGGGGGGAGGTGGTGGAGGGGGCGGGGGTGAGGAGCAATACACTCAGCTGTGTAATGAGTGGACTCAGGAGGCGGAGGAACTTCTGTCAGACATCAGTCAACAACTATACATGGCCAACTACGTAGACACTCAGCCACCAAAGGTAGGCCCACATATAATTCATCATATAGACAACTACAAAAAATGAGATTAAAAATGAATTTTTACCATAGGAAACAATCAATGCTGTGATCAAATGTGTAATTTCCACCATAATACAGGGGTGGGGCAAAACGTAATAATTATTTGTTTGGTTATATTATGTTTGGTATGATAAATACTCCAGCTGTGAAGGTGGTAAGCGGACACTTGGTCGTGTTGTCATCGGTCACTCGTACTATTACAGTAACCATCAAAGTTTATACCAGACAACATTGAGATTGTATGCGTATTTTTAAAACAAAAATTTTCTGCTTGGGGTCAAAGAGCTTTTTCCCGGTAACTTTCTACTACGCTCAAAAACATTGTTCCTGGTACGAACACAATACAATTGTTTGTCAAAAAGTTAGAATAAAGTGTACCCTTAAAACTGAGAAACTTGGACACCAGTAAACAGAATTGGCTTTATTCAACATAATTATGTTGTAGTGTGCAATGCACATTGTTTACAATGTCGTCAAGACTATAATCTGTAATCGCGGCAAATCGTAAAACTCTCTCACAACAACAGTCATCTTCTTCTGCAATTGCTGAAAATTTGTAACCCTCCCTCAGCAATTTTCAATCTGCAATTGGTGATAGCCACAACCTCAGGAAAATTTGTATTTCTCTACACAACTCATTTGAACATTTAAAAATTTAAAATAGGCCTTATGGGTTGCCAAATAACTATGTTGGTCGAACAAAATAACAAGGAAAAGGTAAACTAAAGAATTGTCACATACACTAGCAAATTACAAAATACAGTAGGCCTACAATGAAAAAAAAATCAGTTGTAACGATTCAGCAAGATAACACTGAAGATTATTCGATATAGGGTAAAATAGTGTTGATTAAAAACTGATTATTTTACTTAGCCGTATCCCACCCAAAACTTAATCCCCGAAGTACTGAGGCATTCCAAATAAACTAATTATATCTGGGGTTTTTAGTTGGCATAAAACTATTACCATATGCTAAATCCCAACGAAAAAACAACGGAATCTAAATTTTTTTAGAAATAGTAGCGAAAAGGTGAAAAACAAACCATCTTGAAAACTTCAGTAATATGATTTTGTTTATATCATATTTTTATCTTCTTGTCATTGGTGAGCGTAAAAGTTGAACCACGGGTTTTAATGACTAGAGGGGAGAAAGATTCTGTGCAAGTAGCATTTAAACATAAGCAAGATCTTAAAAGTGTATATTATTTTTGTTTAGTTGCATACTTTTATATTTTACAGAGTTGTTATTATTTTAGCGACCAAATATCTTTGTTTTGTAATAAAAATTTGTTTGGTAAATTATAAAATCAATGTCTGTTTAAAATATTGTTTTAAGGATTAAATTCAATCAAATACAACCGATCAAGGCTCGGTCCCCCAGTACTCTCACAATAATTAGAACAAAGCTAACTGGGAACACACTTTTAATTCTTCTCTTTTTTAGTAAAGTTTTGTTAATAGGGATTCTTTATTTATAGTTTATCATAAAAGCTCGGTTTGAGCTCGATTTTCCAACTTGGTGCTCGATCTCACGGTCTTGTTGGCTAGGCTTGAAAATCAAGCACTCGCTTCTCTCTACTTTTAATCTAAAAATGATTTGTATTTCTTGTTTATTTAGCCTGTTGAAGGAGACAGTAAGCCAAGCGAACCCTCAGTAGTTGTAAGAGGTGTATCTCGAGAACGGAAACGGTTAGTGGTTTCATGTATTGCTAAGAAGCATCTCTGTTCTAACCAAGCCATTGAATGATGAGTGAGCTTTCATCCTAACAAAGCATGAAATGTATTAACTATCAATCAACACTGTGTTCTACACTCTTTTCCAGAATGACTTTTTGGCCTCTATTAAAAAACAATGTCTTCAAAAAGCTTCTAATCGTAGCTTCTAGCTTCTAAAAAAATGTCCATTTCTATGTAACATTGAAACCCTAAAATATGTATACTTTGCACACATTCATTCTCACCTGGTTTGGCAATATATAGGGGAACGTCAACTTAAAATTACATTGTGAAACTCATAAATACAACACTATAAACAAAAATAATATAGTTCTACCAAAACACAACCTAGAAATGTATAAAAATAAGCCCTCATATGCCGGTGTAAAGTTTTTTAAAATGATACCAAAAGAATTAAAAGATATAAATGATAGTAAAAAGTTTAGACGTAATCTCAAAGAATTGTTTATAGAAAGACCCATCTACTATATAGATAAACTGTTTATGAATGTATACAACTATAAGCTTGACACTATTTATTGTACGTCTTGTACATGCTTTACATAAAGATAATTCTTGAAAGGTCGGTAGAGAGTTCAGGGACACCATTTATTGTTATGTGTCGCTTTTTTTTATAACTTTTTTCTATATGGAAATACATGCTAGGCTTTTAAAGTAACTGTAAAAGCCAAATCAAGCATGTTGTCTTGTCCTCATGTGTTAATGTTGTTAATGGTATTGTTGCAGACGACACTGGTCGAGTCAGCTTGGAACCAACTGTCCTCCACTCCATTCACAAGGGCCGTCCCGCTCCCGGCCACTTACTCTCTAATGCAGTCTTAAATATTCAACACACCTTCGCTTCTCAGTCAGTTTTCTGCTAATTTATCATTTTTGCTCCTTCATAAATATTTCGTTGTTTACTTGGGTCAAGTACAAATCACTTCATGACACAGTTTAAAAGTAGACCGATTTGGCCAACTCAGTTATTTTTGTTACTGCATTTACGATATTGTTGAAGCAAGTTAATTGTCAAATGGCGTATTGTATTGTTTTTTGGAATTGAGTTCAGATGTTAAATATTGATGAACATGTAGCTAGTTATAGTAGAGTTATAGTAATATTTAGCTGATTTAACAGATTTATTTAATCTTCTAGTGTTTTTTTTCCTTCTCGAATAACCCAAGTAATTGTTGTACCTCTCAAACTGGGAATCTGTTAAATCAGTTAATGTTAAGTTAATTTTTAGGTTAATTATGTCAAACAGCAGTTAAATATGTTTCAAAACTGTAATTCGTGTTTGATAAAAAAAGTGGCCTGTATACATGTTTAATTCATCTGTTATTTCTAAAAGTGTACTTTTTGTCTCCTACTTGAAGGCAATGGCATTTTTCATTAAATTATTTTGAAGCTAAATGGAAAAATCGAGTTGATAGAAAACAATATTGTTATTGGCAATAATGTTCTAAATAAATGGAAGGAATTTGTATACTAATACACAAAATTATTTTCAAAAGAAACAATTTTTTTGTGTTTATTTTTATTGTAGTAGAATATTATAAAATTTGATAAAAAAGTTTATTAATCTTATTTTTGTAGCTGCTCTGAACTATTTCTCGCTAACTTTTTCTTGTAACTTAATCTTACATAGGGACAAAAATATTGTAGATTAAGCAAATTAATTATGATATAGAGGGAAAGATGTCGAAGGAGAAAACATTGTGAGTACTTAGTGTGATTCACAAAACATTCGGACGGTATAATATAAGGTTGTAAATAAATAAAAGTGAGAAAAGGATGATCGGTGATAGCAAGCCCTACAGGTTGTTAATTACCTGGACCAAAAATTAAATCGGTGTGGAGTAGAATAATAATAAATATAATTTATTTTACTAATCAATCAATGTTGGTGATGTTTATTTGTTTGAGCTAGTATTTGCTCCTCAGAAGATATAATATCATATTATTTTGTCTGGTAAAAATATAATAAGTAAAAAATCTCCTTGAGGAGATAAAAAAAGTGGTTTAGTTAGTTTATGTTGAATGTGTCACAGTAGCTTAGCACCCTGTTTGTGGATCAGTTGAGCACCTCCCAAGCAATAACTGTAAATCAAATGTACCGTTCTTTGGAGATATTCATGTTACATTTGCTCAAAAAATTATATCACTAAAACTAACTAAAACTACAATTTTCTGTTCTACTGCCAACTGTTATGTTCAATATTCTCTTATTGTTGTGTGGGCGAGGGTGTGTCTAAAATAGTTGTTAGTATTTGTAAAAAAAGTAGAATAGAAATATCACACATGTAAACCTGTGTCGATTCAAACCTACAACATTACAACAAATTGGCTGATAAATTGGAAGTTTTTAAAGATTTAACACGTTAAATTTAATTCTGTTTACAAAGTAGCATTATCAGTGTGTGTATGTTACGGAGTGTTCTACGTGTACTTGTACAAAAAATATAAAATGCCCGTACGAACTTACTGTTACTTTAACAAAGTTATGATTGTTTTATTACTTACTAATTTGGCAAACCAGTTTTCTCATAGTTAGTCCAGGTTATCAACAATTTAAAATAAGGTATAAAAGTTGATTGCATACCACAATGGGCCAATTGTCATAAGTTTAAGGCTATTTCACACTGCCATAGCATTGCTTGATCAACGTTGATGCTTGATCAACGAGGGTGATACAGGGTTTTTATTTTGTAATTTAATGGTACATTTCATGCTGGTTAAGAGCGGAAGAGAGTTGTGGTGTATCTTGGCAAACACATGCCTCTCATCACTTGGTTAACAATGTCTAGATTAATAACATAACACCCCTGCCATACCAAACCTGCAGACTGAGCAAATTTGCTTTGCCTGTTTGAATTTTCATCAAAATATTTTCTTAAACATGTCAGATTTATTCCTTACTAGCAGAATGTCCTTGGCACAGTGTTGGCATAGTATAACATATATACCATAGCCGTAATGTTCTACCACTACACCTAAACAATAAAAAAGTGAATTATCAAATGTTTGCACAATATCCTACACAAATAAACAATCCTACTTTTAACAGTTCTCATTGTGCATCCCAGCTTTTTGTTGCGGCTTGGTTCAAATTGGCTATGTTGTCATAAATGAAAAAAAAATTAAAAGTGCTGCACCCTGTTGGTGAACCTTATGACTTTAAATAATATTGAATATCATACAACAACTTGTGTAATTGAAACAGCTGACAAAATTCACTTTTAAATAGGAATACCCATAAGGTAAGCATGGCTCCAGAGCCATTGGGGCGGGGCCCCAAAGGATTTTTGAGATAAGAATATGTCTATATGTTAATTGGGAATGTGAGCTATCATCATAACAAAAGTTAGCCCAATCCGACCTGTAGTTAAAGCTGGATTGAACATCAAACAAACAAACAAAGACACAAACTTTCACATTTATAATACAGTATTAGTAAGATTAAAATGCATTAGGATTAACCCCAAGACTGCCCCAGGATGGTTTGGATGAATGACCATGTCATTTATTAAATTTTGCAAGGGTTTTTTTTTCAATTTACTGTGTCTAAATTACTTATGATAACATAGTCGTATATTTACTCATTTTGTAGAAAAAAAGGAGATTTTGAAAATAAATAAAAAATCCCTAGGGGTAATTTTTTTGCTACAGTTGAAAAACTAATACAGTTAAAATAACTAATCCATCTTCCACATAAATTTCAAATGTTGAGTCCTGGCATTTTCCCACAAAATTTTCTCCTATAAATAATTACTACCCTGTTAATTATTATTTTATTATTAGGGGTGTTTTTAGTGGTATGTTAAAAGCTTAGTTTGAAATAAATAAATTGGCCAAATCTTGTCAAAATATATCCTAAACTGGTTCACTTATAAATTCTCCATAAGAATAATGTAGGAATTCTATGTCCAGTTTTTTTTTTTTTTTTTATTTTCTCCGTAAACATTAAACGGAGTGTAACTTTTTCAATATACTAAATCACACTCCCAGAAATGGTATAAAAAGAAATCAGAAAATTTTATGTTTTGAGGGTTAATGTGGGAAACTCTCCCCGGGAGCCTTGTTCCCATAGTTTTATCATGCTGGTTTGCAAATTTGTTGGATAAAAGATAGGTTAAAATGTTTGTACTAAATTTCATCAAAACATTAGATTTTAACTTGACTTATGGTGAAGAGAAAGTGTTTTTGTTCTCTAGGGAAATCAAAACTAAATAGTAAATCCATTTGGAGTTTAGTTCTTACCACGAGACTAAAGATAAAAGCTTTTCCCCCACATGCAAAATTTGCTGAAAATTTAAATATATATCTTTCTCAACTTACGTCTTATCATAGTATTAGCCAAGCTTATCTCTATTGTTGTATGTCAGTAGCACATGATGTGTGTTTACTAAATTAGTGTCAACATTTGGTATCATAACATCATGTATATTCATAGGTAAATGGTTAATCAGCTAGCAACAAATTTTAACTCATTACAGCAAGCCAATCATAACTTGTATTCGCCAAAATACATGTTTGTAGATTTGTTTTTGGTGTGATCAAGGGTTTGTGTTTTTTCTTTCAAAGACGTCACTGCAGCAATGTTACGCAAGTGTGAAACAGCCTTCATTGAGTTGAAATGTGTGTATAATCCAAGCAGTAAAGTGGTGGCAAAACTTAGTGTATAAGATTGTTTAACTTGATTATAGGTTTGTTGCAGTTATCAAATTTGTTGAATTTTTAGTTCAAATTGTTAGTTTGTTACCTTTTTATTTATTTAAACCAGATTGTTTTAATTTGTTAATCCGATTATAAAACCTAAACATTAAATTACTATTTAATTTTGTTTCTGTAATATTTTAGTTAGTCGTTTTGAACAGATATCACAAACTTAATTGATTTTTTTGTCTTTTAAAATTTTTGAATTTTTTTATATCATTGGTGTACTTATATTCTACTTGGTTAAGCAAATTGAATTATTGTTAAATATCTTTAAAGGATTAAACTTAATTTTGGGTCATACATTTTTTGTATTGTAATTTGATTTAGTTAGTGACATCAACATGATATTGTTGTCATTGACTACATGTCTCAGAGCACTGCACACTGCAGTGCTGAATTGTATGGGACAACAACATGGCTGACGTAACATCTGTCGCCTCTCAACTGCTAACCTGCACTATTTCTATTGTGAATTGATTTATTTGATAGCTTATGTTCTTAGCCTTGGGAACTAGTGCAGGTTAGACATAATTAGTGTAGTAGTTTATAATTTAAAGTTTGTGGTCTTGGGGCAGTACATTGTGCTAGTGAGAAGACTTGGGTGTGCTGTGAGGTATGGTTTCTGTTTCTAGTCAATATGTAGGTTTATTGGCAGTCCAGTGAGTGTGCAACACACTCAAGTCATCACTCAAGTGTACTGACATAAAGCATCCAAATTGTTTTCCATTTCTACAACTAACTGTTTTAGTTGTAGATGGTTAGTTAAAACTGTTAATGTAATTTATCTCAAAAGATTAATAATTTACATCTCTCAAACATTAATATTGAAGTTTTTAGATTTTTTAAATTTCTGCTTTCAATTAACAGTTTAAAAAGTTGCCTTGGTTTTACTATTTTATAGTGCCTTGGTAATAATTATAAATAACTAGTACATTTGTAATTATTATATTTATACTTTCTCGCACCATATTGCTGATTATCGATTTAAAACTTGAGCTGGAGATGATTTTGGTATAGGAGTGTTTTTTTACTTTCTCCCCCTATACCAAAGTACAGTAGGCCTATATGGAGAAAGAATTGCTTTCGTCAAAATTTTCAGGGTTTTTTTTAGTGGATATATCCGTTTTGGGTCCCCTGAACCCAAAAAAGTGGCTTTTAATGTGATGCCTATGTGTGGGTGTGTGTGGATGTGTACAGAGCTACAGGCCATACCTGTAGTCCGATTTTGATGACATTTGATATTTAGGTACTAATCCATGGTATCTCCAGGTGTTTTTTTTTTCATTTTTTTTATGGTAATAATAAAAACCCATAAAAATTTAAAAATCGAAAGATGGTGCTAACGATTTTGTTTAAAATTAAATATTTTATAGCCCTTAAAATTCTCTGAACAAAATTGTATAACTCCCATTGCTCCAAATATTACTGTTCAAAAGTTATTGTAACTTATACTATTTTCCCGTTAAAAATCCCCTTAAAATAACAGAAAATCTGATTCTTGAAAGAAAGCCGGGTTTTATCACAATAAGTAGTATTTGATGGTCCTTATTACCATCACACACCATTATCTAAACACAATAGTGCAACCCCCAATGCTGTACAAATTTAAAAGTAAATTGAAAAGGTTCAAGATTAACTCATTGTGATTTTCCCTATAAAATAAAAAAGTGACTCCAACCGCATACCCACGATAAAGGTTGTTGACAAGCTAATGGAAGAAAGTATGTGTCAGATTGCTGATACTGTTTATTTCTCAACAAATTGCTTGCATTTTAAATGATAAATATTTTCATCAGCAATACATAGGAAATTTTTTTATTATCTGTTACCTGCTATGTTGATATTGGAGTATCATGTAGACAACAACTTGTGACTCTTGATATCTCCAGCTTAGGATCCAAATAGTAAGCTCCACAACCACAAGGCTACCCATCTGTTACTGAGTTTTATTTTGTGTGATATTCAAGAATAATTGGTATGTTATTGATTATATGGCATATTACTTAGCAGATGTTTCACAAATTATGGTGTTTTGAAATAATGCACCATTATGTGCTAATTGTAACCTAACCATCACAGTGTCTGTCATTGGTATAAGGATTGTTATAGTAAACATTTACAATTAGGCATTAAAAAGTGCTGTAACATAACCTAATAATAAAACTATTGTCTGCTGTAATTTTCTGTTAGTTCATATGAAGGTGTGTTAATTTATAAGCGAGAAAGTATAATTGTAATTATTTAATTTAACTTGAACCAAAAGTTTCAGTTTGTTTTGTAGGTAGTATTAATTGGTATACAGTTTAAAAAATGTATTTCTATTCTTTTTTTTGAAAGTATAAAACCTTTTTGGTTTAATAAATTTACCAATGTTCAGTTATAGTTGTGTATATTTTATTTATCTTTAACCCTAGAAATATGACTAACCTTAAAAAAAATAACAATAATAATTGATGCATCCAAAAGATCCAGTATCAATACTAACACTACAAGATGTTCATTCCCTTTGGATAAAAACCTATCTACAGCTGGTACCTATTAGTCGGGTTGGGTAGAAGGAAAATATTTCAGTTCTGGCGGGGAGGCTGCAATTTTAGGCGGTTATAGTATACAAGTTTCTGAACCTAAAACCGCCCAGACCCCAATTTTTAAGGACCTCGGTCGTCCGTGTTGACGTCATCAAGATGGCGGCCGTAAGAGTATGCTGGGTCACCATGAATTGGCTATAATGACCGAATGCCTGAACCGATTTTTATGAAATTTGGCACACAAGTGCTTGAATACATTATCTCGGCCTAGGTTGTCAATGGTCGAGTTTGATCAAGTTGTTTCAAAATGGCGGCCGTTAAAAGCTAAAATAAAAAAAAATCTTTCAGTGTTTTGTGTTCTCAACTCCCTCCAGAGATCTGCAGCAACCTATCCACTTTGCTTGCAATCAAAGGTTGCACTACCGTCTCTGCATATCATGAAATAGGCAAAATACCCCCACCACAGCAAACCAGCAGATTAAGTCAGTTTCCATTTCCCTGATTTGATTTTCAATTAAATCAATTTCAATAGCATTAGATTTCATGAGTACCTAGGTTTGCTGCTACAGGGAGATTAATAAAGTGAGTTTTTATTAATATATTAATAGCTTAGTTTAAAATAAATAAATTTGCCACGTTTCATTAAAATATAATCATTAACAAGCAAACTACAACAGTTTATCTACTCTCCGTAATAATAACATAGGAGTTTTAAATTTACAATGTTTTGAATTTTCTCCGTAACCGTAACCAATAACCTTATAAAAACACTTCAATTCACTAAATTATTTGTTTGATTAATATCTTCAAATAGTTTAGAGAAAAATTTGGGAATTTCATGTGTTGAGGGACGAGGGTCAAACATAAGAAAACCCAATTTTTACCCCTTAAATCACCCAAAAAAAACCGTTGCCATGGTCCGACCACGCTGGTTCGTGAACTTGTTTGAAGAAACGTAGGTTTACACACACATATACAGTGTGTTCAAAAAAGGTAGGGACAAAATGTACTAATTGATTCATTAGATCAAAATAAGAAGAAAATAAGGAATAACATTTTTTTTACAAAATCGCTTTGTTAACAGATATCCACCATTTTATCTTTTATAACTTATATTGGATATATTGGCAATTAATAATAAAATGTGCAATTAAATTTACAAGTTCAGCAAGGCCAATATAAAACAAATAAAAAAAATTATTATATATTGGCCTTGTTGAATTTGTAAATGTAATTATAAATTTCATTAATTTTGACTGAACTTAAATGAAAGTTGGCATGTATGTAAAGGTAAAAGATACCAATTAATTTTGTTATGTGAACCAGCATGATCGGACTATGGGAACGGGGGTTTATGGTGGTGGGGTTTTATGGGGTAAAAATTGGATTTTCCCATTTTGGACCGAAAAAAAAACATAAGATTTAGCAATTTCTTTCAAACCATATTGTGGAGCTTAAAAAAACAAATAATTTAGTATATTGAAGTGTCATTATGTGCCTAACAGTTAACGAGAAAATTTAAAATTAAAATTCCCATGTTATTCTTACGGAGAATAAGTAAACTGTTGTATTTTGCTTGTTTATGACCATATTTTGATAAAATTTGGAAAATGTATTAATTTCATACTAAACTATTACGTTTCATAAAAAATTAAGTTTTCACCCTCCCTCTTGCAGCAAATCTATGTACTCGTTAAACAAATGCTATTTAAATGGGGAATAAATGTGATATTTTAAGTAGATGTTTTAGAGTAAATCCAATCATGCAAATGGAAATTCGATTAGTCTGCAGGATTGCTACAGCAGGGGTATCATAAGGTAATTGGTTATGGAGAAAATTCAAAACATTGTAAATTTAAAATTCCCATGTTATTATTACGAAGAGTACATAAACTGTTGTAGTTTGCTTGTTTATGATATTATATTATAATGAAACGTGGCAAATTTATTTATTTTAAACTAAGCTATTAATCTATATATATAAAATCCAATGTATGTTTGTATATTTGTATGTTTGTCCTTTATGGACTCCAAAACCGTTCGACAGATTGTAATGAAACTTTCAGCCATATAAGCATTATTCAAGGATGGTTTGTGTGAAGTTTGGTGCAGATCCGTCAATAGGGCTCCGCCCCAGTGGCTCTGGAGTTTCCCATGTTAACCTTATGAGTACTCATATTTAAATGGAATTAAAGAATCTTAACAGCTGGTGCAACTAAACAATTTGATTCTGTGATGTTCAATAGCATTAAAAAGTTAATAGGTTTACCAACAGGGTGCAGCACTATATTTATTTTTAATTTATGAGAACAGTTAATTTGCAACCAAAAGGTGAGTGAGCGTAGCGAACGAACTTCAACCTGGAGGCGAGTTAGCGTAGCAAACGAGCTAACCTGAAGGCAAGTGAGCGCAGCGAACGAGCTCCAACCTAAAGGTGAGTGAGCGTAGCGAACGAACTTCAACCAGGACGTGATTGAGCCATGCGAACGAGCTCATCTTGAAAATGAACGAGCGTGTGACATAAAACCACAATAGGACAGGACGACGTCTGTCGGGCCAGCTAGTATCTATTATTCTAATTCCGTAAGGAATTTCTTGTGCACAGCAAAACTCTTTTATTTATTAACCGATTTTGATGATTGTTGTGTCAAATTAAAGGGAATTATCTGCAGAAGTCACGGAATAATTGATGTCACGCTCAGTTCAATGTGCTTCGCCCCATCTGACTTTAAAGTTACCATGTATTTTTAAATATAAGTGAACATTCAGTTAAGTTTATCAAACATATGGTTCATTAAAAAAAAAAAAAAAAAAAAAAAAACACATCTGTCTTTATAAAAATAACCTCTTTCCCTTATGTCATTTAAATATTTACTTTTTCTGTTTATTTATCAGTTGACTTTCCAATACAAGGATTACTGATGAAATGGGATAGTTTATTTGTGCAGTTTCATTCAGAGTGTTAGGGAGATTTATATCAGGAAATTAAAGAAATATTATTGGATGAAGCTCACATGTCTAATAAGTAAGCTTTATCGTCTGTAGAAAGATTACTGCGAGATATTGCCAGAAGAGAAGACCAAGAAAAGCCTTTTGGTGGAAAGGTGATTGTTTTGGCTTTATGACGAAATAAATAATAAAATAGTTGAGCAACTAAATGATGACAGCCGAATTTACTACTCAGTGGACACTTTGATTCAAGAAGAGGGAGACCAGTTACATTTGCCTGATGAATTTCTTCACACTTTAGCACCAAGTGGCTTACCTCCTCGCAAGTTATGCCAAAAAAAGGCGTGATTGTAATTTTACTAAGAAATTTAAATCCACAAAAAGAACTGGTTAATAGAACCAGATTAATGGTGAAAGAGATGAATGATGAAGTCCTAAGTCTTAAAATTATTACTTGAAGTTCAGCTGGAAAACGAGTGTTACTGCCCCAATTAAGCTTAGAACCATCAGAAGGAAACTTTCCTCTAAAATTCAAACGTCGTCAGTTCCCATGAATGTCGAATCACTTTTGCCATGACTATTGCAAAATTAAAGGACAGACACTTGAAAAGTTGGTCTTTATCTGCTAGAGCTGCATCCCCTGCTTTCAGATGCCGCGCTTTTTATGATCTAAAAATAATGGTTAAATAACAACGAAACCAAGGTCATTTGGCTAAAGACGTTAGAGTGTTTACAAAAAAACATAGTATGTGAAGAGTTTCTTATTTAACATTTTAAAAGTAAGATGAACATTTTAACTGGTCTGTCAGTCAGTATTATAAGCCTACTCTGTTAAAACCTTTGTTAAAACAGTATTGAGCTTAAGATTTTTATTTACGGTTAATTAAAAGTTAAGCGCTTAAAAGTTCTTCCTTTTTTCGTATTAAAAAGTTAAAAGGTAATTCAAATTTTTTAATGATTTTTAAATACTGTATAGTTAATATTATTAACTGGAAACAACTAGTATTAATAAAAACTCACTTTATTAATCTCCCTGTAGCAGCAAACCTCATGAAACCTAATGTTATTGAAATTGATTTAATTGAAAATCAAATCAGGGAAATGGAAACTGACTTAATCTGCAGGTTTGCTGTGGTGTGGGTATTTTGCCTATTCCATGAAATGCAGAGACGGTAATGCCATCTTTGATTGCAAGGAAAGTGAATAGGTTGCTGCAGATCTCTGGAGGGAGTTGAGGACAAAACCACTGAAAGATTTTTTTTTATTTTAGCTTTTAACGGCCGCCATTTTGGAACGACTTGATCAAACTCGACCATTGACAACCTGGGCCGAGATAATGTATTAAAGCACTTGTGTGCCACATTTCATAAAAATCGGTTCAGGCATTCGGTCATTATAACCATTTCAGATGTTTATGGGGTTATCGTGTATACATTATCTTTAGTTGACCATTTAAGTCATCGGAGATTATGACTGTTATTTTTTTTATATAACACCTGTAATACTTTGCAATTAATAGAATTCGAGCAAAAGGTGCACTAGTTATATTTATTTTATGTAAATTAGAATTAAACAAAATTCATTCAGCAGTTTTAGTTTAAACAAACTACTGTCAAAACATAAATCACGATAAGCTATATTGATGTAAACAAAAATCAACAGTAAATGCCTTCTAATGCTATTCTTATGGAGAACATTTTACGTTATATCTAACTAGCAGAGTACCCGTCCTTCGTACGGGGTTGGCAAATAAGTATAAATAATCCACTTGCTAGGGAGGTTCCCTATGTCCATTTTATGTATAGAAAAACACCTTAAGGGATCATGTAGGTACTATGTGGGTTATCATTTTTCACGTGGGTGCCAGCTTGGCAGAGTGGGCATAACCTCAGAATCCGCCATTTT